TACAGTAAGCACAACAGAACCATTGGCTGTCAACATACTCATAGCCAAGATTTGCAGAGGGGTTTTTACTTGGGTTTTCCAATCTCCACCATTTACAGCATGGCACCAAACACAAACACATTGGTATTGTCACAAGGAAATCTTGCCTTAAACCATAGACTTATTGGCACCACACACCTCCGCTACCCCAAATCTCAACTGCCTCATACCCTCCGAGGAGTTTCCTTACTATACAACACCATTAATCTACCCTTACAGCTATCACTCAAGCATGGGTTGAAGCTTGGTTAAGTAAGACCAATATCATCAACGGAGTAAACGGCTACCATCTACCCTACACACTGGCACTTACATGCCATAAAATGGGCAATCCTTTCCCTGCTCAACTTTCGGATGGATAACTACGTTATGATAACATATCCAGAGGCCTTAAAGTCATACACTATCTTGAAGACTTCTTGTTGATCAAAGATAACATATTTTTCACTAGAAGCCTCACGGCAGCTTAGTCTGGTTGACCACTTGGGCGTCCCAGTACCCCATAAGAAACAGAAGGCCCAGACACTATCATCACATTACTGGGCATACGACTTGAGTCGGCATCCATATACGCAAGTTACCACAAGACAAATAGGGAACATTCTCAACTACATCAATCACTACCTCCTGCTTAGTACGTACAACTGCAAGGAACTACAATCCCTACCAGGTTCCTTAATTTTGCCATGCCAATCATACCACAAGACCATGCTTTCACATCCAGAGTACTTTCCCCTTTTTTCCACACTTCCAACATGACGATCAGAGGATGTCCCTAGACATGCCAGCAACAGCAGACCTGCACATGGGGGCGGATTTCTTAACCGCTTAGCATGGTAAAAGCATGTTCCTTCCAGGATTGTCTGACACTTCTCCAACCAGATGGTCAGACCACGGGTTTGGCAGCGATCTACCTGGAACGATTGCTTTGGAGCTGTTGGCCATGGCATCCAGGTTTGGAAAGTTTTCCACCACCTCAGCCCCTTTGGGGGATCCACCCCATTGTAGCAACTGCTGTGGCATGGGGTAAATCATGGTCAGGGTCATCAATCCGTTGTTACTCAGACAACTAAGCACATGTCATATCATCAACAAACGCCACTCATCATCCATAAGGTCATGATATTTCTGGGGAACTCAATTGGTTGGCCACTTATCACATTTCTTTTACTTTCATGTACCAGGCGGGGGTATACATCCCTGCAGACAATTGTCTCATTTATATTCCAGGCATGTTCATCATACACTTCCTACAGCTGCCCAAACAGTCACGGCCACTCTTTCGTTCCAAAGACAAAATCATGGATTAGACATACTCATGCAGCATAGCATGCACTATCCCACCTAGCACTTTCGTCCCATACTTGTAGAACGCATAAAACAGCTTTTCACCTGGCTTAAAGAATCTCATTGGAACACAACATAGCTCAACCTGTGTCATAACATTTCTCCTAGGTTTTGCTTCATTTTGCCACCTTAAACTTAAACTATCTCACACACCATTTATTATATATTTTACAGGCATTCAACAACACAGGATAACCTATGGCCAAAACTACCATAACTTCATGCTATCATACCAGACAAGAATATACACAGAGGTTTTCAGGAATCCATTCCCCCAAGTTCCTCTCAGAGATTACCAATAGCCATCCAACATTTCCATCCTTATTGGACCTATTAGATCTACAACCATTCAATTATACTACCAAGTCGGCCATTACCAGCCCTGAACACTGCCTTCTATGCCTTTCTCAGGCCAGAGAATCCACTACCATCACCACTACTCAGACAGATCATTGTCTTCAACGTTACCACATTCCAAAACGAGTCAACACGCACGAACGGTAGAGATAACATACTATCCTACCCACAACAAATGGTGTCCACTTTCGGTCCTAGATTCCTACCTTCAAAATCCTTCCAGGAATTAAATACTGTAATGTATTTAAGGAAATGTCTGGTTACTTTGTATATATTTGTTGACTGTATTAAATCTTTGATTATTCATTTATGCCCTTTTTATTTACAGGCCGACCGTATCGTCGGTCTCAGCAAACCACAAACAACTTGCTCCCTTTAAACTATACTACGCTTATGCTGGATCTTTACTCGATATATGGCTATTTGACCCTTACACAAGTATTAAGGCCGCTTGGCCTGTATTTGTGGGAGGGGCTTATATTAATTCATTCCCCTATATAAGGGACACCCCTTACCTGACTCATATCGCTTGAGGTCAGCATCAGAATGACCCTCCCACCCACTCCTCATTTCAACACTTTCTCTTTTCTTTCCATTTACTTTACTTTCTTACTCCTTGGTGGGCCCTCTTTATTTACAGGCCTTCCGTATCGTCGGTCTCGGCACACCACAACTGACTTGCTCCCTTTAAACTATCCTACGCTTATGCTGGATCCTTACTCCATATACGACTATTTGCCCCTTACACAAATGTGAATATATATATGATATATATACATATATTATAGTTATATAATATATGTCTATATATCATATATAATGTCATACTAAGTGTATTTTTATATTAATAAATACATATAGTAATTTAAAAATACACTTATAATTAAATTACACATGCATATATATATATAATATATATAATAACTATGTATGTATGTGTATATATTATTATAAAATACAAATAATAAGTAATTTAAATTAAATAAAAACATGTAAAAATAATAATAAAAATTTTAAAAAATTATATATCCATATGAAATTTAATTCTAAGTGTATTTTGATATATATATATATATATATATATATATATATATCAAAATACACTTAGAATTAAATTGTATATATATATATCTATGTATATACAAATAAATAAAAATAATACGAAATATACATATGTCCATATACAAAATTACATAAATAATTATATAAATATACACATAGACTTCAAATATATAAATATGCATATATATTTAAATTGTACGTGTGTATTTATGTAATATTTTTACATAATTAAGTAATTTTATTGATTGCAATTTGAGGGACCTGCCTGCCAACCCAGGCCAAAAGTCCAGAGAATTTAATTTGCTAGCACTATATTTTACCCTGTAACTTTCTATGACACCCTAAAATATTTTTACATATTTTTACAGTCCAGGAATGAGAATTACCCAATGTCCAGTCTTTTTTAGTAGCCACTTAGTTACAAACACTGGACAAAATTAGCGTTCAATTTAGTTTTTTACTTTTTTCACACACAACCAAATATGAATGCTAACTTTGGCCAGTGTTTGCGACTAAGTGGCTACTAAAAAAGACTGGACATACCCCATATTGAATACCCTGGATTGTCTACTTTAAAAAAATATGTACATGTGGGGTGTGATTCAGAGATTTATGACAGATAATAGTGTTACAATGTCACTACTGATAAATTTTAAAGATTTATGTTTTGAAACCGCAATATCTTACTTGTACCTATAGCCCTATAACTTGCAGGGGAAAAAAACACTGGGTATTTTTAAACTCAGGACACAATTTTGAATCTATTTTTTCATTGGCTTTTGTAAATGAGTAAAAGAGTTTTCAAGTAGTTACATAGTTACATAGTTACATAGCTGAAAAGAGACTTGCGTCCATCAAGTTCAGCCTTCCTCACATTTGTTTTTTGCTGTTGATCCAAAAGAAGGCAAAACCCAGTTTGAAGCACAATTTTGCAACAAGCTAGGAAAAAAATTCCTTCTTGACCCCAGAATGGCAGTCAGATTTATCCTTGGATCAAGCAGTTATTACCCTACCTACCTAAAAGTAAAAAAAAATGTATTTTTTTAAATTTTTCAGCATATTTTTTTAAATTAAATTACATGAGATTATATAAATAATGGTATCTAAATAAAGCCCTTTATGTCCTAAAAAAAATATATATAATTTGTATAGGAACAGTAAATGAGAGAGCGGAAAATTACAGCTAAACACAAACACCACAAAAGTGTACAAAGAGGCCTGGTCGCAAATGTACAACATCGCAAAAATAGTCGAGTCCTTAAGGGGTTAAAACATGATTTTTACAAAAATACTTAGTTTAATCTATGCTTTTTAAGTGCTACATTTCTAAACCCGTTTATAGTCAATACATTCTTAATTTTATTAGTGAGATATTTTGATTTTATAGATTAATGGTGAAATTTAAAATGTTCATTTTAGTACAGGGAAGTAAGTTTTTTTTTTTTAAAAAAGGTCACAGAGTACACAGACTAGATTTGTGGGAAAGTTTTGTTCTTCTCAGGTTGCCCACTGACTTTTCCCTTAAATTTTTTGATAAATCACATTTTTTCAACTTAAAACTACTGTTTCATTTTTATAAGATAGCAAAAGAAAACAGATTGGAACCAATCATTAATAAACTTCAATGATTATAAAGTTCTCTCACTTCCTATTTTTTTTTAATCCTAATATATAATACTCCCAACTCAGAATTGCAAAAATGGCTGACATTGTCAAGCCATTATGCAAGACATTTAGGCAATATTTTTGCATTGCAGCACAAAAATAGGTGCCTTTTTTTCCTGTTTCTCTTTGGCTGCCCAAATTTCTTTTCACTTTTTTCGTTCATAAACTTCATACGAGTCAAGTCACAACTTTTCTGCTGTCCAGAAATGTTTTATTTTCAGCAAAGTGATTTGGACAAAAAAACTTTAATTGCAATTCACATACATTGTTATTCCTTCTATATTTTGGTCTAAGTTAGGTATTTCCTACAAAATCAGTGCAAAAAATTGTCATGAATGACTTCCTAAGGAATCTGTTTTAAGAAAGATGTACATCACTAAATTCTGTGTACGTGGAGAATAGTGAACAGTATATCTAATGCCTAATTGACATGTTTGGAATGTGTAACTATTCTTGAACCAATTGTTATTTAAAATCATCATAGCAATTCAGCACAATTGCCAAATATTAGTTACAATTGAAATGTGTTTAAATAATAACATGGCTGAGCACTTGTGAGTAATCCACTCATTAACATAATTATGGAAACATACAACGTCAATAGGATTTATATAAACATTTATTGATTGATTGTCATTATCCAGGAATAATTTGAAGGGGTCAAAAAGGTAATCATGTAAGAAAAGTGACATTTATTATCAATATTAACATTTCACAGTTTTTTTGCTTTTTTAAAATTTTATTTTATAGTTATAGCACACATTAACATGTTTTACAGTACACAAAACAAAAGCAAATAATATTTCAGACAAAATATAGTTACACTAGTTAAAGCGTCATAATCACCCCAGTGTGTAATTATATGTATGCAAACCTTTCTTACAATGTAAATTCTTACTGCAAAGTGTTTCAGGTGCCACTCAATGAGGTGTATTTACAAATAAATCATAATGATGAAGCACACAATAATATTAATAACATTGATCTATGTTACTATTTTTTACTGTTTTTCTGTTGTAAGCGGGAGTAATTTTCTATATTAAGAAAGAAAATGTGTAAGTAGTCTGAACATATTAGCAAAATATATACATTTTACAGTTTACTAATTGAGTATAAATAGCCGAACATGGCATTATAATGTGCTCAATTTATACAAACATTATTGCAGAATATTATGACATCATAAGTTAAAACTGCACAAATTAACACAGAGAGTAATACAGTTCCATTATATAATTGTTACAATAAAACACGTTTAACAATGTTCCCTCTTAAATGAACAATCCAGCATGGAACAATTAAAGGACCATTGAAAGCTTCATAAAAACCTATTCCCGTTACAAAAGTAAGATAAAAGGAGGTCCCTAAATCTGAATGCTTTTTATTATAGCTACATACATATGCAACCCCTAATCCAAACAGGTCACATACACAGGACAGGCTCTTAGTGGCTTTTTATGATGGAGTTTTCCTTGATAAAAACATTATTTGAATTGATATCTGCCATAAATGTAATTGTTTACAAATTATTTAATTTAGAGTAACACTACAAACCCCCAGAACACCACAGATTCAGTGCTAAAGGGGTTAATACAGTATCCTCTCGTTTTCTACTTCATAGAAGTGTTAATTTCAAGATAAGCTGTGAGATGTAATAGATTGGCCAATAGATTATAAATACTGATAATATTTTGTGAGATATGGTACGTTAACTCTTTATGTACTATACTAAAAGTAAGCAAAGAAAATGCAGGAGACTCCCTAAAACAGCAGCATTCTTTGAAGCCCTTGCAGGAACAGCACGTAGTAATGGGAGCTTCTTCAATATGGAGTCAGGCAAATAAAGGAACGAACATGTGATGGTCGTTTTATTTTTTAGATAATCAATTTATTTTTAGTTGATTTTGTAACGCACAATCCATATAATAATTAAAAATAGGGCTCATGTACAGCCATCAGTTTCATTTTGAAAGAGGACTACATTTGAAAAATGCATAGTATATTAAAGTAAACGCTACATTTCTTAACACACATTTGTTGATGTGTTTTTAGTTACAAATACTAAGATTTAAATAACTGAATAGTGTATTCTAGAGGGAACACTGTCAATTAGGTCCTTTCACAAATGTATATAATTAAATGTGTTAACTTCATCCAACACTGTTTTTTTTTTTTTTTTTTACAAAATACACAAACGAAATAGATGTAGATGAGTTGAGGAGAGCTGAAATCTGACTGTAAAATAAGATCCAAATACTTTGAACTAAATTTTACAGTTAGTTGTTAACTCTCTACAATCAACTGTTTTAACCTAGAAGGTAATTGTGGTCTTTATATCTATTATCCCTCTCCTTTTCCTCTCTACCTTTATGTATGTTTTATATATTTCAGGGTACAGAGACTACCACTTGCTATTGTAAAAACAGCATGAAATGCTCACAAAACATTAACTATTGTAACACATTCAATGTAGTTAAAAAAAGTTGAAAAGATAAGTCAAAATTACTTCAAATATTATTTTCTATTACTCCATTATATAATTTTTGCGTCATTGACCTAAAAATATTATGACGTCTGAAATCTCAAGTATAAAGGTATCATGGGAAAATATGACGGCTTACAAGTAGAGTGGCTTTACTGGGCAGCACAAACTAATTAATGTGTCCAGATGAATTCCATATGATTATCAGCCATTTAGTGATGTTTATATAAACCAACCTCAAAAATCACACACTGATTTTGGCTTCTATTTAACATTTTTGGATAACATTTCCAAATGATTTAAATTTATTGAAAACATTTTTTCATTTATTTTTTTTTAAATGTCAAAATATTAAAATATTAAATGTATTTTTTACATATCATACATAGGAATATATAAATATTGTAAAAAATATAAAAATATATATATTTCTAAAGTTTATGCAGCATATGAAATCATTTGAAAAGTGTATCTAATTATATTAAATAGAGGACTTTGTGCTCGCTCACATTGTCTGAATACTAAATACTTTGGACAAAATTCAGACTGGTAGGCCAAATAACCAAAACTAATAAGGTATAGAAATTTCTCGTTACTCTTAGATCCCAGGTTCTGAATACTTCTATTTTATGGTGAAAAGCTCATCCAGATTAAAGTAATTATTATGTTTTATTATTTGTTTTTACTTTTTACATTGACTTCTGGTTTCCAGTTCTCAAGGATCTCTAATAGAGTAGAGTGCGTGTATACTACTATTCAAATTAAAATAACTATGCCTTCTTGTACACTTTTTTTTGTTGCACAATCTTTTTTACTGCAAGGTCCTTGAGGAATGGAGTTTATACAACTTAATGTATTTAATGGTTAGGTCAGCCCCACAAAGTTAATAAGTTAACAATGTTAAAATTCTCCTGGATGCCACAAGACATGCGCATTTCAGGTCACAGGTTAGTAAGTTAGTGAAATATCATGCTGCAGTCACTGTTTCACGAAATTAGTGTTCACACCTGGTTGATCCAAGTACATGGTACTTCGAATGACCTGCTGTATTTACCAGCTACCGTTAAGGGATATAGGGTTAAGCACTGATATGGTTATTCACTAAACCAATATTTTTAAAATATATTTATAAGGAATTGCAGATTTCGGTCAAGAAGAGGCAGATTGAAAACATTTTTCCAACTTAGTTACTTTAAACAATTCCCTTATCCAGTTTAGTGAACAGCTCTTAGTCAGCTTAGTGAATAGCCCATTGAGGTTGCATTTACTAAACAGAGAGCTGTGGCTATTTGACAAGGAGATTGAAACCTTTAGTCCAAAATAAGACCGATAATTCCAATTTCACTGTAAATTTTCCACAATTTCTGGTTTGGTAAATAATTATCTTAGAGTGTTTAAGAGATTCGTATATACTATTAAGATCAAGATCATATTTTTTTACAGTTTTCAATAAGAATCAACATGCAATGTGCTCGTATACCTGTCCTTTATTTTAAAGTGGATCTGTCATCTTTTTTGCATAGATGTATATTCTTCTCCTAATGTTGTCTAGATGTTGTTGTTGTTGTTGTTGTTGTTTTCTATTGTGTCCTTTCCTAATGGTCATATGCTTGATCATCTCCAGATTTTACTTATTTCATAAACGTTTATTGCTGCACATACTGTGATGAGGTTAGCCAAGTTCTAAAGAAAATAGTATAGTGGTGTGTGTAAAAAAAAAATACTTATAGAAGATTCACAATCTAACTGAGCCTTTGTGAGCCTTAAAATATAAATTTTCTTAAAAAAATAAATACATACTATATTACAACTAAAACCTAAAAAGTGTTATCATTAGCAACTAGAGAAAAGCAACATATAGGAAGAATTAGTAGAAGAATTTTATAATTGTGTGAAAAAAGAGTGACAGAGCTACGGTAAGCAAAGGAAGCACAAACTCTCAAGCAGAGGTGCTCAACATGTCCCTTTCCAGCTGTTCTTGGCCAGCCGCAGCTAGATGATGGGAACTGTAGACCAATAACAGCTGGATAGCCACAGGTTGATCTTCTCTGCTCCAACGTGTTAGTATGGTCCATTAGTATTTGCACTAGTCATGTGCAATATATAGCACTCTGAAAAAAGAAGACAATGCTTTGCTCACATTATGTCATTTTTGACTCGTTTAAGTTTTCTTTGTGACTACAAATACCATCTAAGTAAAAAAGTAACAACGTAATTAAAGGTTATGTGCAACACCCTTTAAAATAAAACCAGACTTGTATATTTGGATAGAGCAAAACTGTGACGAAGGGAAATGACATGGCTATTGGGAAAATGTAATAGTATGTGTAACAATATAAAATATGTAAAAGAATTTAAATGTATAAAATAACTACTCTTCTGGTTTAACCTTTCCTAGGCATTTAAAGGAAAATTCTAAGCATGATTACACTCTAGTGGTTATGGTGCCAGGAGTGACCTGGTGTTGTCCCACGCTTAAGTAAAAATATAATAACATAATTTAATGTTGCTATTCTCTGTTATGAGGATTAATGTTTTTGCTTCAGACTTTAAGGGTTTATTTAAGTTCAAGAATGCTTATTTCAGATGAGGATGCATTTTAAATTGTTTTATTTGACAGACTTTTATTTAGAAATCTGTAAGGGTTGTGATCAACAACTAAATAAAATTAATATTGATAAAATTCCTTTAATATTGATAAAATTCCTTTAATATTGATAAAATTCCTCTGCATCCGATTAAGAGGGGTCATAGAGACCCAAACTTAGCTATATTTTTGACTAATTGGCTGTAATTTGGCAACATATTTTTTCATTCAAGTTATAAAAAATAAATATTTGACATTGAAACAAAGGTAGTTCCATTAAACTTAAGAAAGACTAAATTGGCTTAAATTGGTACTAAGCTATTTGTGAACTGTTGGTCCTGAACAACTTTATAAACTAGCATTTCTTTAAAAGTAGTTGGCAAGATCAGAGTTTAGTTGAAATCGCTCTATGATCTATCTCAAAGTATTATATTATCTGTTTCAAGTTTTACATATTCATATGACTATACTTTCTTCTATGTTTAAGACATGAAAAGCCTTTACAAAATTAGAGTGTAGATCACATTTAAATACTAGTATCACACAGATACCAAAAATGAAATGTTACTGTCTTTAGTTTGCTTATTGCATTTATAGGTACATTGATGATTACAAGGACTGCAGCAGGAAATTCTATACTTGAAACACCCTTTTACCCAGGCTACCAAGCTTTTATTAGATTAGATAGGGTTTTTGTTTGTGCACATTACTTTTTATAGACAATCAATAATGCTACTTTAAGAAACATTTTTTTTTAGGATGGAAACACTACCAAAGTGGAATTAGACTATAATCAGTTGGACATACTGTTACACATTTGCATTGTCTTCTTTATCCATTTTTATGTATTAGTTTTCTTCTCTGCAGAGTCAGTTTCTGCAAATTACAGCTCTTAATATGAGCCAGTGATAGAAGTGAAGCAGCACAAGTCTAATTGGAGCAACTACTAGTTGACAATTTTTCATAAATACAGAAAACACAAGGGTTTTAGAAGGTCAATTAATAACTGTTTCAATTTGCAATCAAGTATATGAGTTAATTTTGACTCAACCACATCTAAATGGCAAGAAGAGTTGTAGAGCATGAACATGTTGAAATTATCTCCCATTTCTTTTTATCTATGGTGATTTGTGGCAACTGGATCCCTTCCGCTGTATTCTTAAAATTAACAACTTTATAGGTATTTCCAAATTGATTAAGAGAGGCAAAGTTACTGTTAATTTAACTGGTTGAGATATTTTTTTTAATAAGTAATAAAAATATTGTATAATACAGACAGTTTAATAATATTTGTGTTAGTATGTATTCTTAATAAATATAATAGCAATTTGGTTTCATTAAAACATTATTTCAAGTAAACACAATATGATGACTATATAGAAATTACAAGTAGGGTTGATGTAATAAGTGAAATGCACTGATGCACTATTGGTTTCATATACAAAAGAGTCCACTGGGTTCTATGTTTTTTTTACCACTACGTTAAGCAATATGTTTTATTCAAAACCTTATACCTTAAGGAACCAACTGACAACAGAAGATTCCATATGGCATATACAGACACAGTCATTAATTGAAACTTCTTTTCTAACCATTTCAAACAATAATTCTTCTTCAAATATTTCTCTAGTGGTTGCAACATTGACAGGGCTGCTTAAATGAACAATCAGGGTACCATAACCACTTTATCTCATTGCAGTGGTTATGGTGCATGGAGTCCCATAGCACCATTCCACTGTTCAATTTTGAACTATTTTTGATCTGTTTGACATTGAATGAGGGTTCTGGGTCACTCTGCCTCCCACTGAAGATATTACTAAAGTGGATTGTAACTTCACATTAGCTATACCTAGTCTTACCAGTGACGGGCAACAGTGATAGGCAAAGAGAGTTGCCACCCTTTGCTCCTCTGGCTAATTTTATAAAGGAGTTATGGTGCCAAGAGTGTCCTTTTGCTATATTAATACAGATTAACACAATGTTAGTATATTAATAAAATATGTTAGCTCTTGTTTAGTATTATTAGTTTCTTTATTGGTAAGTAATATTAAGAGATACATCCATGACAGTGTTAGGACAATACATGGTTTAAGATTGTTAGTCATGCTTATGAACACAAGTTTGTCATGGAATTTGCAATAAGATCTATCGAATCTATTATAAATCAAATACTTTACTCCTCTAGCTACGAATTTATACTGAAAAAATGTACATTCTTTTCATGTGCTTCCAATACATCACATTGTATTGCTCACCTTGAGATATGTGCCATCCATGACAGAGTTGAGTCGCAATTTGCATATGAGTGCATCCGAGTTAACAGCAGATTGTTAGCAATATGTTAGTTGTTAAAGCAAACCAGTTGGTTAAAACATACATGTTAGTTTTAATTTGTTAGTTAGTTGAATCACATTCATTAAAAAAATGTTTTAACACTTGTAAAGGAAGGAAGGAAGGAAGGTTGGTTTATCTGAGTACACATAAAGTAGATACCGATTGAGTTAGTTATTAAAAGAGGTGAAGCGATAGAAAGATAATAGCTTTTTATAGAATATAAATGTACTTTTATACTAAAGTCTCTTTACTAAACAAACATGAATTCAGCAACAAGAGTAGGCACTTGCAGCATTACAAATAGTGTCCCTGCAGTTTTGATGTTTTAAGCAGTGCTATTTCTCAGGAAATGGCACTGTTTACATTTGGCAATGTCATGTCTACTAGTGGCTACTAAAGGTTTCCAGCCGAAATACATTAAATTATTGATTCTATGTGACATACAAAGTATGCTGAAAGTCACGTGTCCTTAATGCATCTCTCTGAGATGCATCTGACTCAATAGACGTCATCAGGATTTTTAACTCAATGGTTTGAGAATCAGGCTGCAGAAAGGAGTCTGTCCCAGTGCTAAATTACAAAATCCAGAAATTTTACATTTCAAGTTTTTTTTGTTTTGTTTTTTTTTAATGGAGACCAAATCTAGACTAACAACATGTATATTTACAATTAGAGTGCTCCTTTAAATTATTTTGAATTGTTATGTGGCTGTGTGCTGTACAGTTAGCTGCATTCTTTATACATGATTAATATTCTGAGCATTTGATGTAAATGCTTGACTTTCTCCTTCTCCTAGTATCTCATTCAAATCATTAAACACACACACACACACTGAAGAGTTTAACTGAAATTAATCTGTACTGCTTTGTTACTAAATTAAAAATATTCTTAGTTGCCTATTTGGTAGCATATGCCTAAAACTTATCATATGCTAAAACCATGCATGAATTAACTGAATCTGAGCGTACAACAATATATGCACTCCAAGGAATGTCTGCTGATAGACACTGAGCAGATGTTACAGAGATCCTGGAGTTTGTAGGCATATGTAATTATGTGTTTAAGTGGATATTTCCACACAACATGTGGCCGGGCTAAATCACATTTACTGTGAGGGCTGGTAGTCTATTTTTAAATGACAATTCCTCAGGATAAAATTGTTACTAAAAAAACACACACACACAACAGTAAACTCAGATGCTTTTGCCTCTGTTTAGAATGTATGATATTGAAATATAATGTAAAATGTATGAATATAAAAAAAAATGAATGTACTTTTACCTTTGATTGTATTTCACAGTAAAGTAAGTCAAATATGCTCTTCAATTCTTCAATTTGGGATAAATGTATTGCATATCATTCTGTACATTTGCAGGGTATAGTGAAGAACTAAAGTGTTACTCCAACCATCAAAACAACTAAAGCTCACTGTATTGGTTATGATGGCAGGATTACCATTTAGCTACACCTTGGCCCCTTACCTGGGTTCCTACCAGGATCTACGGCTTCCTGGTGGTCTGGTGATGCTGACGCATCAGCTGGCCACTCTCATCCAATGGCTGGCATTCTGTCCAATGATATTTTCAGTTGAAGTTAGAGTTGGTATTAACCAGGCCAGAATTCTAGTTCCAGACTGGATAATGACAATCCAATGACTCTGCTGGAGGCGGAGTAACACCTCTGGCAGCAGAGGGGTTAAAATACATATGTGTAGTATTTCAAAGTGAAATGCTACACATACAGACTCCAGACACCATGATCAATTTAAATAATTATAGTGGTCATGATGCTTGGAGTAACTATTTTTTAAGGAAAAGTCTACTTCTCAAACAGTCATCAGTCAGCTTCCTCTGCATATTTAGGATGATTGGAGTTATAATAGTCCAACAGTTGTAAGGCTACAGTTGGGCAGTGCAGGATTGATAGATAGATAGATAGATAGATAGATAGATAGATAGATAGATAGATAGATAGATAGATAGATAGATAGATGATACATAAATACATATCATAGATAGGTTTCACTTTTATTCCAAATAATAATTTATGTATTTTACTAAAAGTGCATTTTAAATTGTAAAGTAATTATCAGTTTAAGTATAGGATCTTAATAAGTATCTAACAAAATGTTTATGGTTAAGGCCAATTCAACTGCTAATTTGGTGAAATTCTGACCTTTACATTTTTTTATTATATCAGCTATATCATTTAAATGCAGAAATAAATAGTAACACAATGTAATATTCATTATATCATACGATATGTTTGATAAGAGATATGATCAGATACCTTTTCATTTGAAATCACAATGGCAAGCTTAAAATAGCATTGTGCAGCTATTCTATACAATATTAAATATTTTTTTTAATTCAATTCATAGCACCAATATTCATCAGCGCTATTAGTTGTTATGCACTCTGCTTTCTTTAATCTCATATAATTGTTATTATATTCAAGGTTAAAATAGCAAATAGCAACCATGGTTCTAGAGAGTTGGATTTGATGGTATTAGTAGGAATCTGCGATCTAACTCAATTGCTCTGTGTTTAATGGTTAGCATTGTAAAGTATGAATACATTTTACAAAATATGAAGGTAGATTGGCCTGTGTATAACACTCTGCATGCATTAGAATTGGGTATTCTTGAAACATACAATTATTGAGCATTAAATGGATACTAAAGTATATGTTTGCTTCCTAAACACTATGAGCATGTCTGTCAAGCCGCAGATCACTGAGGCTGTCAATATCTCTAACATTTATACAAGATTAACAGTTGTTTATAATGTAACTGTTTAGTTACCTTCACAACTAAGACAGAAAAATTGCAAAAAGATTGTATGGCATCTTTAAAATCTCAGACTCTTTGTGTGGGATTTATTTTTACAAAGAATGAGCAAGAATTTTAGTATATGCTTTGCCTTTATAAAGGCAACCAGATAACCTCACCTCAATGAACTATATTAACCCTGTAATCTAAGACATTGCAGTTAAGGGACGCTAGGAAACAAGGAAGTAACAGCACCTGATGTCTGGGGGGTATCACCAGGTTAATTTATAAAAGTGCCAATTTCTATTGAAATCTGCACTTTTTGTAAAAATAAATCAGAAGACACACTCTTCACACATAAAGCTTTTCAGCAAGCTAAAAGTGCTTTACAGGTCTGGAGTTTCCCTTTAAGTACATATGGCAATTTTACCAATTTTATGGTTGCAGAGTTAAACACACCTCTAGTGACTGTCTTTCTGACAGCCCCTAGAGGTTGTTTCTACTTCCCACTCAGTTGTTCAATCAAATGTTGCTCATAAAGCATATTTGATTGGTGCAGCACAGTGCTTTGATGCACATGTGCACTAGCCTCCCAATGCTTCCTGATGGAGAAGCATTGGATTGGCTATGATGATCATTCTTGATTATCTTATCCAGGGAGTAGGGGTTGCCACTGCAAAACTGGCAAGTGAGTAAAGATAAGTAAAACTGCCTTTTAAATCCTAATGGGGGTTGAGGCAGACACCTAAATAGGAAGGGTAACACTGTAGCATTAGGAATACATGTTTGTATCTTTACTGCTACACTGTTTATTTAAAATTATTAGTAATGTACTGTATGAGGTTTTGCTGATACTTTAATTATTGAAGACGTGTTGTAAGTTAATAGCATTTTTTCATGAAAATGGTATTAGGAAAACGATATATCATGAATTTCATTGGGTTAGTAGAAATACTATACTAATAAAATGTTCATGAAACATCTCAAGAGCTATATACTTACGCATACATACATACATACATACATACAGTCTGATACACGCATATTAAAATAAGCAGTAATAACTTGTAATAATGTTCTACGAAGTCAAAATGTTAAATTGAGTTGATTAGGCTAATAAAAAGAAAGAAGAAAAGACACAAAAGCTGCCAAGTTGATGCTTCCTAAAAATGAATATTAAGGATTGATAAAGCCAGACACTGTTTCTATTTAGATATTAATGGGTTTAAATAATCCTTTGGACTCTATGGCCAACCAAATTTTTCTCTGATCAAAAACATTGAAATTGTATTTAATTGTTATACAACAGTATGGATTGATTTAGCTTGAAAGGCATTCAACTTTTTTGACTTAATAAGCCAAACAGCATCATTCGGCAGCACATTTCATTAATGGAATATCTCCTTCAATATTCAATATAAGATACAATATAAGACTCTAGCCCAGAGTCATTAACAGGATAACTGTTGCTGTTTACAACAAAGTAATTCTCTGATATTACATCAAGTGTCATGCTGTAGATTAATATTCAATTTGCTGGAGAGGTTAATTGCACAAATGCTCTATACTGAGCCTTCTGCATGCATTAGGAGTTAGTAAGTATTAGTCATATATTGTTTAGAAAAAAATTAAGGAATTCTTTCTATGAAGCCTTATGCGTGCATTTTGAGTTAGTATTATTGTAGCAATGGGCAGATAGTCTTTGTTAACCATCTGGGTGCCAGAAAAGAATGAATGATTCCTGTCATTCCTCTCGGGCACTCAAAGGATGTAAGTACCTTATGAGTTACTAGCATGCATTAGGTTTGTTAAAAAAAATCGGAAAATCCATGCAAAATATTATATTGGATGTTAAAGAAAACAAATGTGTTATATTCCACAAAGATCTAGGAATGCACAATTTGAACTTTAATCTGCGATTGCACTTAAGCAAAACACATGTTCACAAGACAGCTGAACAAAATGACAAACAATTGAAAGTTCTTTGTGTTTCTACCATTTTAAAGCAAAACAATATGAATGAGGAAAAAAAAATATCTTAAATTGTTAAATGACCACTTAAAATTATTACTCGTTATACTTATGGGTGTTTAATAAACAGCAGCACTTTTGACTTGCAAATGTTGCTTTATTGTATCAAGCTTTTTGAAGACACATAAATCTGTAACCATTTGTCTATATATTATTATAATACAATTCAGTCAATTGTAAGAACGGTAAGCAAGTACAGTTTAAATCTACATTGATGGCAGCTGTTTCTGCTAGTTCATCCACTATCGTTCATACATGCAAAATATCCAAAACGGTTTATTTTTGATAGCATGAAACATAGAACTCCTTCTTTAAGTCCACTACAATTTAAATTTTAACTATAAATATTACAAAAATGTTTTGAGGATAGTAAATTAAAAAGTGTTCTGAGGATATCAAGTTGTTCATATAGAAACAACCAGCCTGCTTATATGTTAATATATGTATAAAAGACTAACACATCAGGTGCATTCGTTCAAATCATATGATCTGATATGGTAATTTCATAATCTCATAATTTCTCACTGACTGGAAACTTATATATATACTTCATACCAAATGTTAAATAGTTAATGCTTGGTTGTTGGCTATTAGCATTAAATACTTTAATTGACCTGCAGCTCGGGAAAAAAAAGTTTGTCATTTTGTACAGTGTCCCATTGCTGAAGAGCAGACAGATTTTCGTTAGAGTGCTTAGATCAGTTAGTATACGTATTAGTTTTCTCATTAGTAAATAATGTTAGTACATCAGCATTGCGGACTCCACATCTTTTCCTCAGGGTTTTCACACTTGTATTGTACCACACCAGACAATTCAGAAGACAGAACAAGCAGTTAGAGTTAGTTGGTTTGTAATTAGCATGTTAGTAATAAGAAAAGAGAGATAGGCAGAGTCAGTAACTTGAAAGGTTTGCTGTTTCTCTGCATGGTTAGTAGAAAATGAGGTTAGTAGAGCATGCTTTTAGTTCCTGGTTAGTTTGTTAGTTGTTTGTAAGTGGTGTTAGTCAAATTTATTAAAAAATCAAAACTGTAGACTCAGTGGTTGAAATTACTGTGTGTCTTCAGTGGTTAGTATGTTAATACACATGCAGTTCACCAATAATAATACGACTGGGATGCACACATAAATAGACGGGTTATGTGCTAAATCTTTTCAGATGCAAAAATAGGACTTGGTTAGTAATGCAAAAATATAATATTGATTAAATCAAACAATGGCTTTTGGTTTAATTTAACATTAATTTTCTTTGATAAACATTGTGCTGCTTCTGCACTGAAATGCTTTAGTAAATAACCCATAAAGACACAGACTATTGTATGAGAAGGTTTGCAGGATAGCTTACCTTGGGATCTTCAGCTGGTGCTAAGCTTCTAGGCTCCACATAATGTGTGGAATGGTAGCAGAGCAACAGCTGTTACCCAGGGAGATGTCATCAAACAGAAACAGAAAAACTATTTGTTGGCCAGTGACAAGCCAACAGGTAGACATCTGTTTCTGCCTAAATGATAGCAATCTCCCTTCATAGAAAGTGTCATTATTGTTTGCAATGCATAGATAATTAAAACATACCCTTTAAAAGTTTAACAAAAACAATTTTCTCTATCGACAGTGTGATTAGTAACATTGGGATGTAAAAAGATGGAGAGTACCAATTTTCCTTTCTGTACCTAACGATTGTTAACTGGACTATAATACGGCTTTTGCACAAGCCTCAAATATGCCTTCTGTCATCACAAAATAAAGAATTTAAAAAAAAAAAGTTGGAGAGTAATGGACAATAATCAACTTGAAGATGGTGCTCTATAAGATAACACTGTCTCTTAAATAGAGATCTATTCTCCAACCTGTTAACTGTTAGTCAATCTATTTCTAAACAGTCTTTGTTTTAGGTAAATAACAACTATAAAATATGTAGTATCATAGTTGAATAAAAGGAATCCAAATTCCATTTTCCATCAGTTGATGAATATTTTCACATTTCATTTTGAGAGTAATGAGAGATTTGCCAGTTAATTTAAAAAAAGACGAATTATAAAACCTGGACCGTGACATCTAGGTTGCTAAAATTATACTGATTTGGCCTTATCCATTCACATTTCATGTTTGAAGAAATATGTATGATTTTAAACATTATTTAAACATGTAAAATAGGAAAATATGGAATACCCGTTGATAACTGATATGTATATATGTATTATAAGGTTATATAATGATCTTTAAACTACAATACAACAAATGACCTAATTTGTGACTTTTTCGATGAACCACATGAAAAAAAAAAAGCCTAATAACTTCCTGATTGATTGGCAAGTAAGATGGCATTGTCTTATATCGTAAACAAAGAAAAAAAACTCCTTTGAATACCATTGCTATAATGGTTGACTTTAAATGGTCTATAAATTAAACATAAGGATTAACTTACAAAAATAGTCAAGTCAGAAAAAGTTAATATAGTCAAGTCAGAAAAAAAGGTTATTGTGCGATTGTGGAGATTTTATCCAACTCTTCTATTTTAGTCTATATTTTCTGGTTCTCTATTCACCACAGCAAACCCATTGTATTTGTAAGGATGAAATGGCTGAGACATCTACTCCTACCAAATTAATTTACAACACTGTACATGTATACTATAGTTAATAGTAACCACAATATTCCCAGTTATACATATATGCAGATCAGGAGAGTTCCAGAATTAACATTTTAGATCATTACACTGATTGCTAGAAGACAAATGTGTAATGGCTGAAAAGCATAAATTATTCCATGAAATTAAATGTGTCTATACCCTAACATTCAGGTTCTGTACCATTTTGATTAAAATCAGTCTTAAAGGTTGGCTTCTTTATCAATGTGTGTCATTATCAGTTTCTCTGAATTCAAGCTGGCTTTCACATTTGTTAAGAAATGCAGCATTTCCAATTGAAATTAAAAAACTCCATGAATTATTAAGAAAAGTACTCTGCACATCCCAACTACTGAACAGCCTATGCAGAATACACAAGTGGCAATTATTTTTAAAATATAATTTAACATGCTTACATTATACAGATTATAGAGGGGAAGAACATCCTTATATTATCAGCACATCCTTCATAAACTGAAGAGTTTAAAGTGCAGGATATCACAACCATGAAATAACAGCTTTCCTCTTTAATTTCGACCTTTAATTGTCATTTTCCCAGCAAGAGAACTATGCCATTTTTACAACTGACACAGTTACAATATTCAGGTGATGAAGGATGCAGAGTGCCAAGTAGTCCTGCCCTGAAATAACTACATATATTTTTATCTGGCCTGTATGTAATTGCCACACTCACAGCGTGAGCAGTGCCAGTTTTTTTTATAACCTCTGGGAACCAGATGGTAATTAAGAGCAGTAAAGAAAAGACAGAATATAGCTTTCTTATTTAAAGGAAAGTTATCATGATTTTTTTTTATCTCCCTTATCATTTTTAACTATGTGTACATAGAACAAACACAAAGTTTACTGATGTAGTAATTATAAGAGCCAATTTATCTTTTTAAGGTTATTGTGACCTGGGATTCAAATTGTACGTATAAAGCTAGTATTCTAAAAAAGAAATGTCTTTACTGTTTTTCATTAAGGAACTACATTTAAGTATTTTTGGCTCAGAACCCTGATACAATTATATCAGCTCTTCACATTTTATTACGCAGTGAAAAATGAAGACTAAAAACCTCTTGTGATAACACTCAATATGATGTCTCTGGAGATTACCCAACACCTGTCATTTAACAAGAACACAGTGACACTTTGTTACCAAAGTGCTTACAAATTTATATATAATATATTGTTTTTAGAACAATATTTTAGTTATATAGTGCTTTTTGCATAGTGGCATTATCTTTAGATATGATGGTTGCTTTAGTGTATTGCTGAATGCTGTAATTTGGCAATGTTAAGTGCAGCGTATTTTACGTCACGTTGACTTGGAAGGGAAAAAGCCAATCATGTCTATTCTGTATTTAAAATGCATTCGTTATGTCATAATATATATGGGGGGGGGGGGAGGAGAGAGGGGATTCCCAGATATGACATTGGTTGTATCTTGTTACATTTCTTGAGAAGGTTAAACATTTGTGTCATGTCATGCCTACTTCTTCTCTGCCCAATATTGGCTTGTTTAAGGTTTTCAGCTTGTCTTGTTAAACATTATTTGCAGACATAAATCCATTCTAAAGCCTTTCTTTTTCTAATTCATTGCTAGTAAACTTCTGAAGGTTTAGTCTCTATCACCTATCATTTCCAACTTCTCAACACTAAATGGGCTTCACGGTTGAACTTGATGGACTTTAGTTTTTTTTTTTTTCAACCTAGACAACTATGTAACAACTTGGTCTATTTTTGCATATATATCATTATCTACAACACATTATCAATGTTAGTATGGGCACCTGTACAGTGTCTTGCCACTAAAAGCATCTCAAATCCAAATGGTCAAAACACAATTTATACAAGCAAATGGAAAATAAGTAGAATCAATTGAGTATCAGCATTGAGCAGGTCCAATAAAAACACAGACTTTCAAAAAGGCTTTTAACTAAATTGATCTGGAGATCATCAGAAACCCACAGCACTCAATCTGAGTGCAGTATAGGGAGAACAAACAATAACACGCCAAATGTACCTAATTTAAGGACAGCTTTCTCCCACTTATACCTTATGAAAAAGCTCAACACAAATGGAACATTAAAAGCCTGAAACAAATAAGCTTTAGCAAGACTCTACAATTATTGTTTGCCTGCATTTTCCATTAGATGTTCCTTTGATACCTTTCTAAAGATTTTTCACATAAACATATGTCCAAGTTCTTTTTCTTTTAATAATCACTATGAATAGCGCTAGTTTAGCAGAATTATAAGAAACTAAGTATAGCTACCCATTTTATTGTTTGTACCAGATTTGTAATCTTCAAATTCAAGTATAATAAAAAAAATAAACAATCAAATAAAAGCAGATGACACTGAAAAGGTAATTAGCTTAATTGTCTCTAAGCATCAAAGGACTGTGAAAACCTATTCTAGAATAGAATATGCATTCAACTTTTAGTTGCTAATTATTCTCATAAAGAAAACTGCATTTTCCAAGATAATCTGTTCAAACAAAACATCTGCAGATCATTTGGATACAAAAAGGTTCTGAACAGCACAATGTACCTTGACGAACAGTAACACATGCGTGCAAAAAAAAAAAAAAACATTGTGCTTCAAGGGCACAAATGCAAAATGAAAAAAATATGTTTGAAAGAGTATTGTTTCTATACTTTGAAAATGTTAGAATCGTAAACTAGAAATTCAAAAGCATTATAAATCCAAATACTACATTTATGTGTCTTAAATATTATAAATGTGATTAATAAATGTACTAAAAGCACATGAGAATTATGGTAAGAAATATGTTTCAGCTTTTAGAAAGATTTTAATGTCAGGGCCATTAGTAGAGGAAAGACATTTTAAATTGTTACTGTAAGAAAAAAGGTAATTTTGGAATTTGAGAAGAAGGGATATATCTATATCAGTAATTTTTTTACATTTTTTTTTTTATTGATTAACATGGAAAAAGACCATGAAACATGGGTGACATCTCCATTATGACATGCAGCAATTGCTTGTCTGTATGGTCTAGAGATGAAATAAGATAACGTGTTATTTAGTGACAATATCAATATTCTTGGGTAATGTATTGTAGAAATGTACGTTTAAGAAACAGAGATTTTAAAATAGATTGTTCTGTTAATTATTGCACTGTGCAGGAAATTCCTGTTTGATATTTCATTCAAAAAGGAAGTAGTATTGAAGAGTGAAACAGAGATTTCTAGTATTATATTCTAAAGAAACATATATTTTGGATCTGAAAACTGAGGACGAGTTTGCCATGTGTGCAGAGATACTAGTTATGCATAAAAATAGATTTCAATGCTTTTGTATTGTTTTTTGCTAGACTCCCATAACAACTCTATATTTGTTTAGCTTGTTTCCATTTTATAATTAGGTGATACCATTTTATATTCTTGCATTCTCCTGTCTGGTGACATATCAATAGAACTATGTGTTCTAACTTTCACACATATGCAAACAATCATCTGTTTAAGTCCTGAAAATAAAACACAATTCTTAAGATCAAATCGTAGAGATGTACTGTATGTGTAGATTGATGTTTCATTGCTTCTTCATTGCTTGTGGAGACACATTGATTTTTTGGAAACAGTAATCCACAGACAAAGCGTTTATCTGAAAAGAATTGAAATACATACACAATCAAATGTCACTCAGTTGTGCCTGCAATGATCTGTAGCAGTAATTCAATTCTGCTTCTTTCTAATTACATCTGGCCCCAACTCTCTCCTTAAATTCAAGCTGATTGGCAAAGCAGGTGGCAGATTATTGTCACAAATTGTATACACTTGGGTCTTTAAGGCTTAAAGGATGATATAGATTAGTGCGTGTTGACAGTCACACAACACAGTAAAAAATAAATAAAAAATAATTGGTTCTGCAGATTGTGGTATATTCCGTTTATTTACTTGTCACAAAGAAGGTGTGACTTATTTCTGCAAGTTTAAATTTAGCCATGCTGCTTGAAAAAGTGACACCTCCTAAATTAACATAACGTATGTTATCTGGCACAATTAAGAAATGACAAGCAAATGTTTGTTAACTAACTAGTAAACTGAAGTAACTTGGCTAGTAGCGACGTATTACTTTCCAACATGTTTAATGTTATATCATACAGTTAGTTATAACAAAAGTATTTAGCTAAACATGAGAGATAGAAATTATCATTAGATAGATCTAATGAAAGTATTTAGAAAATTGGGCAGACTAGATGGCCAAATGGTTCTTATCTGCTGTCACATTCTATGTTTCTATGTAAATGTGCCTTGCAGTTCTTTATTCTATCTATCTGTTTTCTGCTGCTTGCTTTGTATTTTTGTTTATACTTTTTTTTTTTTTTTTAAGAATTTTGAATGAAGCAAAATAATTTTATACCAAATTGCAACTTCTGCAAAGCTGGATTGAGGGACATGATCTCCCAAAATGTTTTCATTTTCATAAAACAAGATACTTTAAACATGGCATATGATTCACAAACTGTTATTTTATCTTACATACTTCTCCACTGAGAATATACATTCCTCATTCCACTCTTTGATTCATGCACTTGTAGACAATTGTGTACTTCAAAAGCATTAGCTGCCTTACTCTGCAGGCTGTAAAAAGCAGGCAAATATATTGCTTTTTCTTTACACAATTCTTCTTTCTTTGCTTTACACACCCCTCTCTGGGAGGGGGATACTGATCTAACCAATCAGTGTCCTATCCCTAGGAATGCTGTAAAAGTGCACTGAGCATGCTTGACAGATTCACACATGTGCAGCTGGAAGATCTCTCCACCTTGCAACATCTGACAAGGGGAAAGAGAGGGAATCTGATCAGTGTGATTACGCAGAGCATGCTCGGTTGTTGGGTTTCTCTTTCTTGCTGCTGCACAATAATGCTCTGTTTCTGTCGTTAGTGGACTGGTCCGAAATTCATAAAGGTGTGGGGGTGGGTTAGGCTAGAGGAAATCCTCTAGCTGAGAGGTATGTCAAACAAAACAATCTGGCCAAGTTTATAGTAAGTTTATAAAAATGTATTACATATGTTTCTTGCTCTATTTTTGTTTGAATATTTGTTTAAATGTGTTTGCTTGTTGTTTTTAAAAAAAATAATTGTCAAGTGATGCATGTCCCCGTAAGTTCGTAAATGCATGACTGTTTTTTTTTTTATTTTATTTTTTAAAGAATCACATTTCATGTCAATTCTACCAGGCAGATTATTTTGTAGATTTTGTACTATTTTGTAAAAGTTAATTAATTTTTTCAGTGCATATCATATGCAGGAATGTCACTGAACTTCAAACACAATAAAATATATTAGAAGACATCCTATAGTGCCACCTAGTATCTTCATTTTAAATTATTATTAGTAGACCAACCTGGTAGCTTCATTTGGTATTATTATTAGTAATATTTATATAGCAACAAATTATTCAACACCTTTTAGAATTGTAGAAAGGTGTGAGCTCAACAAGTTTATAATCTATGAGGATTTGAGGTAAGGGGACATATATCATTAAGTATTTTGACCAAAGCTACTTACTGGTAAGGTGGTATGACCAGTTACTCTTATTCCTGGCACCAACACAAACACAGAAAGATAAGGTACGGTTAATCTTTGCAAAAAAAATACAAAGACCCAACAAGTGAAAGTGCCATTTTAAAGGAAAATAGACAAAATATTAACTGATAATAACATAACAGAAGTTAATGGGGAAAAAAGTTAATAGTTTTACTTAAAAATTATACAGTAATGTGCATCTGCATCCTAAGTTCAATAACAGTTCAGTTACTGGAATTTGAAACATGGATTGCTCACCTTGTTATTAACAATGAATGATTTAACAATGCCTTCTCTCCATGGAATTGATGAATACATAGTCATGAGACAACTCACTCCGATCAGCAGTCAAAATAAGCTGGAAGAAAGAGAGCAAAAAAGCAACCAACGCAGCAAAAAGGCAAATCATGCAGCAGGTTTGCTTATGCAAATGCTTTAATTATGATGCTTTTCCAAATAGATGCTCACCCTATGTACCAAGGGAAAAAGTGTTACTTGGCAATAGGCATTAATTATGAATGGTATATCACATTTTACCAGCAGTCCATATGTGAATTCACGTACGTGTTAATTAAATAATGTACTGTGAGATCATTCCTCATTTTCATTTAGTGCAATATGAAATATATATTATCACAGCAACATATGTGGTACATGTAGAGCAAAATTATTGCTCTATATTTATCAACAGAAAAAAAAAACATTTCATTTTTTATTAATCTGTTTCTGGATCAATAACAAAGAATAATTATATTGCTCTTGAGCTGTCCCAGATTTTTGCTGACAAATTAAATCTTGCAGACCAAAATTTGTAAAGCCTAATTGAAGCCATGTATTAGTTAATCCATTGTTCCGTTGTATTGTAAAAACAAAGCATTCAGAGAAATCAATGGCATGTTTCCGTTGGTAAGTATAGAGTAATCATAGTGCACCAAATTTGCCGCATTGTTGCCATCAGGTAAATAATTAGGATTTAAATGATTAACACGTTGGGGCATGATGCAACTGACAAAACAAATGCTTCATGCCAGAAAGAAAATTTTCCTTCTGAATCATCACTAACCTTGAAAGAAATCTAACAGTCTGTTTCTTAGCATCATAATGTGATGCATGTATTCATAAATCTGAATTTACACTGTGAGCTTACTCAATTATCAAAATTATCCTTGGAAACATTTGTAGTGCATAGATGAAAGTTAAGGAATAACAGAAAATGCTAATTGCAAAAATGGATCATAAAATGGAGGATGCACACCTACTTTCTTCCTTCTCTGGCTTGCAAATTAACAAGGGGAGGCACCTATCTTGTGTCTTGACAGCTTTGGTAACTCGCATTTCTGAGGCAAATACCTTTATCATTCTGCTTCAATGCTGTTCATGTTCTTTCTACTGCAAAATATTAGTTGTTACAAGTATCAAAAAAGTGGCAAGAATGCACATTTGTTCTTTCACGAATGATTCAGCACTAACATCATCAAATACAATATATGTGCTTTTGCCCATTTGGTCACTTCTCAAGAAATGCTTATGCTAATATGCTTGAATGATTTGAGGCCTTTATTCTGAACTTTATGCGTTCTACATTGGTATGATACTGCCTTTATCTTAAAGGAAAAATGTCAATTTCCATGGTGTCCATTGAAAAGTTCCTTGGTGCTTACCCAACCAAAGATCACTTTGCTTTGTCTGAAAGCACATTCACATTGTGATGACATCAGCCATCATTACTGAGCATGCATGCCATTAGCTCCTTAAAAAAAGCCGCTGGGCAAAGCAGTCAGTGGATAGCTTGATTCCTTTTTTTATAATTAAACTAATTGTGAGTTGTACTACATTCGGTAGAATTCATGACATTGTGTATATCTGTGTTATTGGAGAAGATAAAATGCTTTCAGTCAAGTGGGTGCAGATTAAATTGTTAATACTAAAAAAATGTATATACAAATAAAATGCCCAGCATAACTAACTATAAGCTAACCAACACATTGAATCTAGTGTACACGAGTGCCTTGAGTGTCCTTTTAAAGAAAGCTGATGATTTAAACTTAAATGGATCACATAGAGTTATTAGGCACCCCCTCCTGCAGTGCTGAAGGTGTTAAAACCCCTTCAGCCACTTACTTGAATCCAGCTCCAATGTCCCTCGGAGCTTGGTCAGGCTCCCCCACGCAATGGCCACGTGCGCATTAGACCTCCCCATAGGAAAGCATTATTCAATGCTTTCTTTGGGGAAAATCTGAAGCTGGAGGTCCATGAGGACGTCCAGCGTCAGATAACGGACCAAAGGTCAGTTCGGATTCCGGAAGCCCTCTAGTGGTTTCTGTTAGATAGCCACAGAGAGCAGACTTAGAGCTGCAATGTAAACACTAAGTGCAAAAGGGTCACAGCACGCAGACTACTTCAATTAGCTGAAGTGATCTGGGTGCCTACAGTGTCCCTTTAACATAAAACAGCATAAAGTATATACAATGTTTTTATTTCATAATTTACCTGTAATATATACATATATGTTAAATGTTAAATGTTCAAAATGCATGTAAATGTTAAAATTAATTTAGAGATTTAATGATTTTCTACCATAATTTTTTTTTAAAGTAATACTTGGTATTTCTTACCTTTTGATGTGAACATTTATCTGCCACTGCTTTATTCATTTCACATAGGGATTCTGTTGGATAGATATTTAGAGTCATCTTAGGAAGGGTTGGCATATGCTAGCTTATCATTGTTGCACAAATACGCAATGTCACTAGGTATAGATAACGACTATGAACAATTTGTCACCCATCCGTTATCACTTTATTGGTGAAAATACATGCCATGGGTACAAAATGATATTTTTTTCCTGCTATGTAAAATATGTTTGAATAGTATTTATAGACCAAGACTACACAAGATATACTCCAATTTGCAAAAAGGTTAATTAATTAATAAAAGTGTTTGCTTTACAAAAAAGTAATTAAACACGTAATGTCATTATCAGTTTTACAAAGACTTGTTGGATATATATTTAGAGCCACTTAAGACATTAGCTTAACATTATTATTCAAATGTTTTTTGTCAGTTCATCTGGATATACACAGCGGCAAAAAAAATATTCTGAAGTATTTGCTCCTGCTGTACTGACCAAAAAAATGGTTATAAATATGAAAAAACTTATCTTGACAAAAATGTTGGACATTTCTGCTAATTGTTTTGCCTGCTAATATTTGGAAATAAGTATACAGAGCAACACATTCACTAGATTGTGTCAATAATTCCTCCTGCTTCCTTTGCAAAAATACCAATTACAGCGAATACATAGAAAACATCATCTTTTTACAGACTTATTTAGGGATCATACTCTTTTTGAATAGTGTTGCTTGGTACTGCAAAATATTTAGAGATATGTATACAAAGCACCATAATTACTATTTATATTTTACTTGCATAACCTTAGGAAATTCATAATCCATGCAATCATAATTTTGTGGTTGGCGAGAAAGAAAAGCAGTCAATTGGACATATTTGATATGAATTTTATTACACAAATGCTCATGTGTTAGGATTATATCTCTTTTAATAAGATTAATTTTTGCACGATTGAGACATTATTTTATTAGAGATGTTTATTTTAGTCATCAGAAGTTAAAGGTATGTGGGAATTAGTGATTTTTCTATATTGGTTATTGAATAACTTAACCTTCGGATTAAAAGTAAGGGAAGCCGATATTGGGGTAATTATGACCTTTAGTTTTGTTTTTATTAGGGATGCCTATTTGTTATTCCCTGGCATTCTAATAACTAGGTAGTGGTAGGATACATTATTGAAGGAACTGGCACTCGAAGTAAAATAAGTGGGCACTTTTATATGTCAATTGATTATGACTGCCTGGCTCATAATTTAATGGTTGCACCACAGTTCAAATATATTTCTCCTAATGTCTGAATATTACACAGTTATATAGCAGCCTTCCTCACATATGTTTTCGCTGTTGATCCAAAAGAAGGCAAAAAACCCAGTCTGGAGCACTTCCAATTTTGCAACAAACTAGTAAAAAAGTCCTTCTTGACCCCAAAATAGCAGTCAGATGTCTCCTTGGATCAAGCAACTATTACCCCACTAATTAGAAATGATATCCCTTATGTTATGTTTTTGTAAGTATTTATCCAATTGTAGTTTAAACATCTGTATGGACGCTGATAAAACCACCTCTTCAGGCAGAGAATTCCATATCCTTATTGCTCTCACTGTAAAAGAGAAAAACTTTTCTTTGCCTTAGATTAAATCTCCTTTCTTCCAGCCTAAATGTGTGACCTCCTGTTCTATGTATTGCTTTGTCTATGAATGTATATCACTGTACTAAACAATGTGCAATGTTTAGCAAAGCATCACGTTTTGCAAAAGCAAGCTTTTCTGAGTTGCTTCTGGATTTTATTTACTTTTAAGATAAATTACATGCCAGGAAACAATAACAATGAGTTAGTCTAAATCCAGTCCCACATCTACTTTTTCTCCCACAGAATAGCATTGAAGTGTACATTCACATGAACGGAACATGTTTGTAATATATGATTCTGTGATTTTTTTTTTTTGTGATTGGATCCACAATACTACTGCCCTCTTGTTCACAGTTAAGCAAATAAAGATAACCAGTGTGTTTGTTAAATGAGGACATGAAGACTAGAATCATGGAACATTTAGAATATTTGGCATTAGTAAACATTTATTAAGGAAAATGAATTTGCCACAAACAAAGAACCACTGTGATACACTGTGTTAATATGCTCCTAATTGCTCTTTATCAGCATGATAAAGGTTTCCATTGATCATGCTATCTATGTCACAAGTCATATAACTCACTTACCCTTGGATCATCCTTCAGAGAAGTCCAGAAGGCAAATTATCAGCAGGAAGACATGTATTAATTTGTTGGGAAAGCGATCAGCTCTGTGTAACTGGGCCATGTTACTTATTTCAGACAACCTAAAAATAAAATAATCTATATTTGTAAAAGCTTAAACATATGTATCTATAACAAAACGTTACTTGAATTAAATAAGTACAATTTATAAATCTAAAGTTTATTTTTTCCAGCCGTGAAATGAGCATAGTATATTACACAAGGGGCATTGTGAGCAGAACATATGTCAATCAATTCCCTCAACACTTCCGATTTTTCCTCTCCCTCAGTCATTATTTCCTTTCAGTACAGTAACAAGGCGAAAATAAGATTCGTAGCCTGAGGCTACATAAGAGCTTTGCAAGACATTATGGTCCCATTTGCAAACAAGCTTCATAAATTAATTAATTCGTCTCTTTTTACAAACCTTTCAGATGTAATTCATTAAACCCATTTAATGTCACTGTTATCATTTCTGCAGATTTCAAAGAAAGCTCCAGAACTCAACTTTAGAAGACCTCAGTTGATGGAAAACTTATCTTTATATGACTGCGAATTCAGAGACTTCATCGAAAAATCTTTTAATGATGAATCATAACATTAGAAAAAAGCTCTCTTTTTAGTAATACAAGCATTTAATTTTAAATTAAGCAGCTGTCTGTCTTCCAGGCTAAAAGAAAACCATATTGCTAAGCTAAAAAAATATTATATTTCAAAATATGTTTTCTTAATTTATTCAACAATGAGTTACCGGGGAACTTAACAAAAAGCATTACAATAGAGAAACTGTGTAATAATGCCATTATGTGAGGAGCCGTTTAAAATCAATTATTATTGACATACTTAATTTTGTGTATCTTTTGGAACCCTGCATGAGATTAAACAGCCACACTTTTACCAAATATCTTCCTGTTTTCCACTATATATGCATATGCCAAATGTATCACACTTCAAATTGTCCTTGATAGGAAGAAAAATCTTTATTTTTATCCAAACTCTTTACTAAAATTCTTATGTAGTAGTTTTTTTTTTCTTTGTTTGGTTTTTGTTTTCTTTGTTTTTCTTAACCCCTTAAGGACCAAACTTCTGGAATAAAAGGGAATCATGATATGTCACACATGTCATGTGTCCTTATGGGGTCAAACATGGATTTCAGCTTGGATATTTAGTGCTACATCAAAGGTTAAAAAAAGCACCAAAGAAAATGTTATAAAACTAGAGGAGTTTCCATTTCACTTTCTCTCCTTGCCAAGGGGTGACCTTGGTGTAAGGATTCTTAGGCCTAATAAATTTATAGCAGTCTATTGATTTGATAGGATATTAACAAAGAGACCATATGTTTAAGCAAGTGGAGAAAAGCAAAGCATTTTTAAGAGTTCATTATCTTCTCCCAATACCTTTCAAAACAATCATAATTCAACAAAAGTGGAAATATATATTGCTGAAAAAACCCTGAAATATAGTATACTTTCTAAGTTTTTTTTAAATAAAATATTTTATTTTAACTTAGAAGTAGCATATTAATATTCATACAAATTTTAATAGGTTATGAAAAATGCATTTCCCATTCTATTTAATGTTTCTGTAGTGACAAGGTATTATTTTGCCTACAGAAAATTACATAATTTAAAGAGTATTTGTCATGCCAGGTACAAAATGCTCTTTTTAAAGAGCAATACATTCTACCTATAAATTGTGCTGCCAGGTTCCTAGCACATGTATACTTTGAGCAAAAAAAATACCTGTCAATAAATTCTTAATGCCAAAAAATTGACTAACAAAGGTGAGCAAGAGGCCTAGTACAGATGGTGCTTGTTGCCTTCATGTATAGCAACCACAGCACATGCACTGTGGCTGTTATGGTAGCTCCCTAGATGGTGCTGCTAGCGCTTTCTAGGTAGCATAAGAATGGAGTAACTCGGGTTTTGGGCCATTCAGTCTAGTTAAATATAGCTTTCTTCAGGTGTGATAGTAGTTACCCACAGATATATGCCCTGGGTCATTCGCTTTACAGCTCTGACACAAAGGAGGTTTGCCCTCTCTGGGGAAGCATACTCAGGCAGGGCAAATTAAATAATACTGCAAGAGGAGTAAGCATGGACTGAGAAGGGTGTTACAGAAGTGTAGTACCCATCAACTGTGAGAACATGGTGGCATAGAGACAGACTTCTGTTAATATATGCTTTCTAATGGCACGAAGCTCTCCTCCAGATATTTGGTATTTACATACCACATTGTTCACTAGCGCTATTGCTAGACTAATCATTTATTTCCATTCAGTGTTCAGGTTCTTCTGACAACTGGTTTAGGATTCAAAACCTTCATGTGAAACTTCCCAGACAATCCAGGATATCATGTCTCATCATAGGAGCTGAGGCATTTAATAACAGAAAACATCATCTTAAATATACCTCCAGTCTACCTCCTTTCCAGTTAGGCATTAGGCATTCATGAGAATTTAGATGTAAAATAATGGAGTATTGTATTATTTTGTAATACTTTTTTTGGACTAGCATTTCAAAAAAAATATGAAATTAATATAAAGTCAATCAACTCAAAATGCATGTGGATACATGAACAAATGCAAATCTAATAATGCATATACAAATATAGATTCATATATGTAAACTGTATATGCACATTAAAATGTGTGTGCACACATGCCAGAAAATGCACAGAGAACCACATATATACACATGCACAAATATATGTACCTATACCCGATTATAACACAACTTGTTTTAAGACACAGATATTCTGACTCTCAATTGTATAAAAGAGACATATTTATTCTAAAAATGTTGCAGTAAATACTTAAATGAATATGGTTAGGTCACACAGATTCCATCCTAACACAAATAGTGCTGGCTGTAATGATTCCTTGTCAACTAGAAGATAGGAGTGACATGGCTGCTGGCATGTGTATTTAGCATGGTAACACTGGACAATACAGAAAAAAATGATGATTTTGATGCTTTCTACATTTTCTATCTAGAATTTAATTGAAGAGCAGTAACTGTTTTGCTGCCCACACAATCCCTTTTGCTCTTGGTTCTCTCTTGTTTGTAAGTTTTGTGTTATTTGTGCCTCTGTTTTCTCATTGTTTGTTATATATCCCTGACCACAGATAGTTGTGATATCTTCCGTCTGGACTTTACGAGTTACAGCCTGACATTAACTGATAGAGAGCAATAGAATCTCTTAGAAAAGAAATTGGCATTGGCTATTTTTTTCGTTTCTTCAACGTGATAGCTGGCAAGCTGTTCAGGTTAATGTTGATAGTTTATATTTCAATAAAGCAGCTAGGTTTGCAACATCTACATCTAATTGAAGTTATCTCTTTTTCATAGGGATAGCCTTACACAACTGTTGGGTTAATGAATAAAAGGCCAGCAGTATGATATATGATAATCAATCTTCATATATATTTCTCAAATTATTTTTTTCATGGACTATCAATAGTTATTTTAAAATTAATGGAAATGATAACTTATATTATATAATTATACTTATAATAGTAAGTCCATTGTACACTGCTCCCTCTGAAAAAATATATAACAATGTTGCTAATTTAAGAACAGTGCAGCAAATGCTATGTGTTTTGTTTATGAGACTATGCAAGCACTTTATTATATGAATCACAACATGTTAGAGTGAAAACTACCTTGTTTTTAAAATCAATCTTGTACTTAAATGAGACCCCTTATGTTTGCTTGTAGACACGAGCAATAAAAAAAGCTCAAATGGCAACTGTGTAAACTGCAAATTCCAAATGTGCTGTACTGCCCTATTCTTATCTTGTTCACGGTTTCACCCTACAAAATCAAACAGCATGCAAAAGAGGATCCAAAAAATATTTAAAGGATATTCCAGAAAATGTTTTATTATTTCAAACAAATGAAACACAGGCCACTAAAGTCTATTGCACTTCAAGTTCAGAGAATCTAACTGATGTGAAATGTGTCTTTTAGTGCCTGGGGTAACGTTAGATATTTTGTGAAGTTCATTTACCTGGATTGTGCTGGACTCCAGTACTTGAGTACAGAAAAAATATGAGACATTAGCCATATATAAAGTTATACTTCCTTATTACAATCTTTACAACAACCAATTTCTTTGTCCATTTTGCAGTAGGGAAAAGCCTAGGACTAGTTTTTTAATGACACACAGTTGATAGCTTAATCACACAGCACGTATAAATTTAATAACCTTTTGTGTCCAATTGTTTTTTTTTATTTCTATAAAAATTATGCTTTAGAAATGTTTGGGACACTCAAATCATAAAACAACTTTAGCTTAGTGAAGTGGTTTTGGTGTACAGTTCATGCACTTCCAATCTTACCGTTCAATCCTCTGCTAGTTAGGAGTTAAATCACTTCATGCAGCTGTAGCCACACTTCCCCAGGCTATAATTTACACAGACTCACTGCACAATTCTAAAAAAACTGAGTTTCATTATCAAATCTATTTTAGAAGAGAGTGTTACTTTAGAGGTTCTCATCTTTTACTTTGTTAATGTCTGCTAATTTAAAACTTGCCAGAAAAGCCTGTTTTAGATTTATACCAGCAGAACGTGGTTATTTTATTTTATTCATATTATTTGTAAAAGTATTTAATTATTTAATATTTTATATATATCATGTTTGCTAATATATATTTATAGCTCCTAAATGTGTTCACGTTTTCCACAATGCGTTTCTATGAGAATAGTTTGTTTTTACACTGCCCAGCGTTAACAAGGAAGTCAAAACTTTTCAAAAATATGGTGGATCAGCATACATTTAGAACATGCAGTAGAGGTATGATTTTACGGTCTTAAAGGGACACTCCAATCTCCAAATAAAAAAAACACTATTTAGTGGATATTCCCCAAATGACAACATGCATTTAATTATGTATTTTTTCATTAGTGTACATCTAACAATAATTCACGAAAGCTGCAGATCTCCAGTCGGCAGCCTTTGCAAGTCCTCCCTCTTTCCCAGCCCAGCCTTTCTATGGCTGTCCAGTCACAGACTTTCCAATGCAATTTAATGAGACGTCTTTGTAAGGCAGGAGCATTAGGAAACTACCGACCTTCTGAGTTTCCCTCGACTAAGTTAAACAACCAGGAAGTAACAAGATGTAACAAGGTAAATTATAAAGGTGCAAATTCTATTAAAATGTGCACAAAAAGTAAAAAAAAAAAGGGTAACATGATGACACACATTTCACACATAAGGCATATTAGCAAACTAAAGTGCTTTAGGTATTTTGGGTGTTCCTTTAAGGAAATAATTTTAAAATACTAATAAATGTCTGACTTTTTATTTTAACTGCCTTGTTAAAATTTATTAAAAATTATATTTTTAAACCTATATTTCCCCTTGTTTTAGTTCTTGCTTACATCCCTAAGCACACAAAAAGGAAAAGGTAAAGAGAATAAAACAAATATACTCACAATAAAATATCAGTTAGAATGATTTTTACTATAGCTAAAATCAGAAAAATACTCAAAGAAAAGATTGTGGCCTACGTTTTAAGAAAGGTTTTGTGTTTGCTTTTTTTCATCTACATTTAATTTTTCTATTTCATGTATAGTTCAATATTTAAGAATATGCATGCAAAGGTCCTCCAAAAAAAGCCTCAGTAGCCAGTGAGGATAGCATAAGGCAAAGAATCACCCAGGAAGAACCCCTAAAATAGCCAATGAGAACCATAGCTGAGATGGGAAAATCTAACTAAGAGCTATAAACTAGCAACTGTACAAACTAGGATTCATGGATTTGGAGTAAGAAAAAAATAGCCATGACTGACAAAACATATCAAATCCACTTCAGAACTTGCATAAAAGTATTAATGGAAATTAGCAAACATTTAGAAATAGGTGTTTTGGTAGATAAAACCATAACTATATTTCTGTTGCGGTCCAATGATCAAAGGTTATTCTAAGAAAACCACCACAATCACTGTGAAACATTAAAGTGCCATAGTGGGGATTGCTTTTCATCAGAAGAATGCAATAGATATGCAAACTGGTGAAGCTTTATCTTAAAGGAACAATCCAAATCCCTGAAGACATTAAGTTAGCTAAAATGTTATTTTAGGAAACGTACTGCTTCCAAAATAAATCAGAGTTTTCATAGTGCTCATAGTGAAGCATTGGATGAAAAACACTGGACTGACTGGGAAATCATCACTAATGAAGATTTACTGTAGGTGGAGCAGAGCTGTGGTAAGTAATTATTTTGCAGATGGATTAGCGATAAGGAACTTCTTTCCTTAGATAGACACTAGAGCTGTGTTCCCCAACCTAGTCCTCATGGACCACCAACAGTCCAGGTTTTGTCAGTATCTCCATTGGAATGAAACAGGGAAATACATAAATCCTGGACTGTTGGCGGTCCATGTGGACTGGGTTGGGGAACACTGCACTATAGTGTTCCTTTAAAAGTCCCAAAGTTGTTATTAGAGCAAAAGGGTGTTCTACCAACTATTGACTCACATAGGTGATTCCTTATGCGACCAAGAAATGTGCGTTTATGTTTGGTACTTTTGTGTTACAAAAATATATATTTGCTACTTCAAAGTGTTAAGAATGCTGTGTAAACAAAATGTTCAAAACACCAATGAAATCAGTTGTATCAATGCAAAAACTGGAAATGTCTAATGTGAGTGACATTATGTTAATACAAAGGAAAGATAATTATGCAAAGCAATGTAAAACAAAATGTATGTATGCCAGTGCCCCAGCCAGGCAAGAAAGGAGCTTTACTCCTTCCTCTCTTACATTTTAAGAGCTGATACGCCTTTAAAATTCATTGGTTGCAGCTACGTAGGTGGTGAGAAGAAAATTTCACACTAGCTTATATATAGGTTGCAAAAGCAATGTGCAAAGCCCATGTTTAATTAAATAACTGCACATATTGTATAAGACCATCATGATGTCCACATGCTTTAATATCTCAATGACATTTTAGGACTGCAGTTTCATTAAAATTGTATTTCTAGTTAAGTATTTAAGCACTACAAAACTTTTTTTTTTTTTTTTTTAAAGAAGCTTCGATGGTGAAAATTCACAAGTTTCAACAAGCTCTTGGGAGTGATGTGCTAGGAAAAGCACTTAGTATTTTTAGCACCTGCTTCAGGCTGGTGTTATAACATCACGGTCTATAATTTATAAGACACTGGAGTTGTATGCATCACATTGGAATTAAAACAGAGGAAAAATACTTGATGTGTAGAATCAGGTTGTTGAACTGGATTCCTTAACAATTTCATGATTACAAGATTGTTTCTAGAACCTCATTTTTCTATTGACCTATTTTCATGAGTTTTTAATAATAATACTACCAATAATAAGCTTCCATGTGATTAAGCATCAATAGAGAAACTTAGATAATGTTGTTCAGCACATCTTCTCATCTGCTTCCATACCATTTAGTTACTATCTCCCATATCCTTGTTCTGACTTACCTAGCAGTATTCCACATATTTACTCTCAGTATCCATCACTACTTTTAGAATTGCAAGCAGTGCTTCCAAACACACTGTCCATAAATATTCACTTAACCACAAGTACAAGAAATCACACATTTAAAAAAAAACAAGTTCACTGCATTATAAATATATAGACTTATACACTTAAGTGACAATTCAAAGTAACTCAAAGGGAATTTCAAATTTAAGGTAAAAACTGGAAAGTTGTGTTTACGTTCAGCTATTTTAGCCTTAAATTTGAAATTACCTTTCAATTCTAGTTGAACTCTCACTTTAGTACATAACCCTGTATAGTGTAAATTACTAGGAATTAAAAGTGAATTTAAATGTTATTTCTATTTTTTAACCAACCTAGTCAGGATTATTTTGTGCTAAAATGCTAAATTAATTTTAAATTTATTTTTAAGCAAGTCTTCACTGTAGTACATAACATACAACATCTTTCCATAGCTAACACATTTAATTAAATTATTGTTTTTCTTCTTTATTGTCTTCTAATTAGTATACATTTGCAGCCTTCTCTTCAGAACAGACGCAAAACCTCTGCATTCAATGTATATTCTAAATAGATGCTATAAACCTTATTACATAATCAAGTTCTAACAAATCTCAGAACTTTCCTCACTATCCCTTTGTACCTAAAGAGAAGATATCTTAATCTCTTGCTATCTTTAAACTTCCCAATTGATCCTATATTGATCCTAATTTACCCTAATTAATTGCCCAATCCAAACGCAATCTCTCTTTCATCCATATAAAAATCACAATAGCTGATGTTTTCACCATAAACTTTTAAACACAGGATAAAAAAAACAATAAGTCACATTTTACAAGTATATAATATCTTGCACATCTACCTCATCATACCTCTTACAGATGTTTGAACTCCTACATTTATGAATTACTCCAAAGAAGGCACATAATATATTTTTAGTGTTTAGGCACACACGATTAATCAACATTTTTAACGTGGCTTGCCACTTTTTAAAGAACATAAGCATTATAATCGGATATATTTTTTCTAAACTCATTGCAACTTTACAAATTCCCTATGCAACTTTTTGATTTATTTTAAACTTTAAGAAGCAAGTAAATATTTACATTTCTATTATGTAACTTTACTGCTTGTTATCTTTTTTTTATGAAACCGATTGCTATATGAGCAGCTTTGCTGGAAATGTAGTGTCTTAATAAATATTAACCATAATATGTATCGTTTTAAGGTATACATTTCTACCCCCCTTGCTAAGAAAAACCTAAATAATTTCTGGATCAATCATTTGCCATTTGCAGTCACATAATTATTTGAAGTACAGCTATGTGCAATTAAAGTGTCTCATGATCTCCAAATAAATATACTTGTTTCTAGAAGGTTCCAGATTTTTTTAGAGAGCATATCAGCATCATGAAGATCAAGACTAATGGGTGCAGGGTAGACTGATCACCAGCTTCAGACCCAAACCTCTCTCCTATTATGTTGTCCATCTCTTTTCGACTGGTACCAGATGCCAACGCCACTATTCAGGGAAAGAATGACCTGAATACTTTATTCACCACACAGAGTAGCTTTCCAGACTTCAGCCGCACAAATAAACAATAGGTGCAAATATATGCAAATTCTGTAGCTTAAACATTCTCACAACAATGAAAATAGAGAAGGACTTTAATTATTATTATTATTATCGCCATTTATATAGCGCTTTACAATATTATGAGAGAGGGGATTTAACTATAAATAGGACAATTACAAGAAAACTTACAGGAACGATAGGTTGAAGAGGAACCTGCTCAAACGAGCTTACAGGAGGTGGAGTATAAAACACAAATAGCACAGGAAATAGCAAGCAAATAAGGTGGGAGTGATGCAGAGCTGGAGGAGAGAGTAGAGTGCTGCCCTTTAGGAGAGAGCAATAGACAGGTATGCAACATGGAAGTTACTCTGGGAGACCATAAGCTTTCCTAAAGAGAGGGGTTTTAAGGCATTTCTTAAATGATTGAAGACTGGGGGGGGGTGTCTGATGGTGGTAGGCAGGCTATTCCATAAGAAGGGAGCCGCCCGCGAGAAGTCCTGCAAGCGTGAGTTGGCCATAAGGGTGCGAGCAGCGGACGGAGAAGGTCACAGGCAGAGTGGAGAGACAGAGAAGGGGAATACCTATGGATCTGTGAAGAGATATAAGAGGGGCTAAAATTGTTCAGTGCTTTATAGGTATGGGTTAGCACTTTGAATTGACTCCTATTGGATACAGAAAGCCAATGTAAGGACTGACAGAGGGGTGAGGTGTGAGAGGACTAACTAGAGAAGAAAATCAGTCTGGCAGCAGCATTCATTACAGACTGCAGAAGGAAACAATAAAGGAAAAGGAGTCCTGTGCATCCAGTATAAGTGTGTACACCCAGGTGCTACCACAGTTTATTTGAGGACAAAGTACAAACGGCAAATGTTTCGGGCGAAAGCCCTTTCTCAATGCTAATGTCCTACAGTATACATAAGATACAGATGATATATACACAAACAAATTTCTTACATGACCCAGAGTGCCACCCCAAGTAATCAGATACACAAACAAGATCAGATGTGTGGTAAGTCTCCATAGCTCCAGCTCAGACTGTAGAGGGGCAATACGGATTTTGGGGGGACCAATTAGGATAGGGTTACAATAATCTATAACAGGTCTGTACCCAAGTTACTTGGCAACTAGTTTCAAAATGTTGACTCATTATAACAGTCTTTTTAGTCCAGTTACTATAAGCAGGGCCACTCATCAACATCTGTCTCCTTTGGAAGTTGGCACTCTGGACCCGATTCTACATTTGGGGAGGCTGTCCTGCGACATAATATTTGTTATTAATTCTGCTTGTGTGTAATTTCAGGTCCTGCAACAGGTGAGGTAGGTTGTCTCAGATCATTTCACCTTGCAAGCCATTCATAATGCCCACTTTTATTTCCGGACTACTATTGCTCCAAACAATCTGTATTTTAGCTGTGGGCTGTTTTGCACGGCCTCAGCTGATACATGTAAAGACTGTCTGGTGTTGAGTGTAGACCCATTGGGGATGAACCAATGTCTAGCTCTAGTGTCCCTCGTTTACCAGTATCGGTTATCCTTTCTGGACACTTTAACCACTGCTCCAATAGGTGGTAATGGATCATAATCTGTAAACTAGTTTGGATGGATGCTAATTTCTAATCTGCTCATCAGTATAGTGAAAGAATTGAGGAAACAAATTTTTGCGAATAAGCATGCACAGAACAGTTACTCTGAACTGTGGATTTCTGCTCTCCAGTCTGACAGGGTGCCAACCTTAGAGGGGAAGTTGAGTAGAGTCCTTGAAGCACAGGTCAAAGTGGGAGTGTCAGTATTAAAAGGTTGATGTACTGGTTCATTTGTTGGAGAATCATGCCACTCACTTCATCTGTGTCACGGTCAGTAGTGGATTTGAACCTGGGTACCTTACAGTCCTGGGGCTGCTATGTTACTTCTAAGCCACTATTCAGCTTCAGTATGTCAGTATCTAGCCCTGTCTTGTATCCAGCACTGGGGGCTGAACATGTATTGGAGTTACTCCTGATATTGGTGGTCTCATTAGCCAGGTATATAACCCTGCCTCTCCCAAAAGGCAGGGTCAGTTCCTTGAGTCCTGGGGCTGCTATGTTACCTCTAAGCCACTATTCAGCTTCAGTATGTCAGTATCTAGCCCTGTCTTGTATCCAGCACTGGGGGCTGAACATGTATTGGAGTTACTCCTGGTACACCTGATATTGGTGGTCTCATTAGCCAGGTATATAACCCTGCCTCTCCCAAAAGGCAGGGTCAGTTCCTTGACTCTGGTGACCGTATTGCTCTTTCGTGTGCTCCAGTTTACGCTTGACCTTGGCTTGTTGTTTCATTTATTCTGATTTCTGGCATCCTCTGACATTTGGCTTCGATTCACCTGCTTTATCCATTCCTGCACTGCGACTTGGAGAATTATCCTGCACAGCCCCTGTGCACCAACTCACAGGCCAGGTGAATTCTTACCTGACCACCTCGGCCTGTGTTTACGTGCAAGGGTGAGCATATATCTCTGCCTGCTGGACTCCCAACTCAGGTAAGCCCTGACAATCTGATATCAGTGTATTCATTAGCAAGCATGGAAGAATCCTCTACCTGGTCCATTACCAGGTACCTGATCTCTGTATCTCTCAATACTTCTGGTGGGCTCATTCGTTAAACAAGTCCTGGGGTCTCTTTTTGGCCTCCAGAAACTTACACCAATATTTATTTTTATTACATACCAAGCCAAAAACCCCTCCTTCACTACTGCATAGTTCTTGCATGAATATTCAGTCAACGCATAGTAAGCACCTGCCACTTTTCCAGTGAGCTTGCCAGCAAGCAGCATTACCAAGTCCTTGGGTTCTATAGTGCAAGGAACACTGCCTTTTAAAAGAGCTGGTACTGATGTCAAATTCCATGAGGTCAGAGATCAGCTCACATTTTATTCTTGTCTCTTGCCTCAAGTAAATATAACTTAGTATAGCTCACTTTAGACATCAGAAGAACTGCACCATAGACTACAGATTTCCGTTGCTGAGACCGTGTTCAAGCCAGGAGCCTTATCTCTCCTGCTGGGCTGTTCTTAGTGATTGGTCATTTCCTGCAGACTCAATGTCCAACTGATGGCTTGGATAACCAATTAGAGGAATATCCTACGGATGCAACCAATTATAATTGGTAGAGGGTACACTGGTTCCCAACTTGCAAACCAGACCTGCACCACTATTTTGTACATCTCTTCTCTCCTGGCACCAGAGATTTTTTAGGTTAAGGTCTTGTCCCTTCTTACTAGAAAACAGGCAACACCTAATCTGACTGTTTCTTCTCCCAGGCCAGAATCAAAACAATTCTTGAGCCAGTCAGGGTTAGGCTATCAAATATTATCAAAACCATCAACTGAAGCACAGTTAAGCCCATTTTAGAATAATTAAAAATCTATATAAAAACATAACTGATAACCTGGAAGAGTCTTCCACAAAATATCAGTGACTTGTTAATCAGATAATGCACCAAGAAGTCAATGATAATGCTAAGAAGAACCATAGCTGAAATCCGTTCAAGGGTCAATTATAAACTAGGCACTTTACAAGCTAGACTTCATGGATTTGTAATGAGAAAAAAAAGCCATTACTGAAACAAGATATCACTGATCATGTTGTGAGTTACCTATTCATGTTATATAAGTGCATTATGTTCACATGCATAAATTGTTTTAATATCCCTGCAACATTTTTGGGAAGCCAGGTCGCCAGAAAATGCAATTTAGTTATTGCAGATACTATCAGCAGGCTGTTTGCCCATTGTATTAATTTATTTTTGCCACCGTTACTGTATGTGAAAAATTGGTATTTCTGCTTTTTACACTTACAGTTCACAGTAGAACATTTTATCATAAGGGATACCGTTTAATCTTTAAAATTTGTTATCTGTTATTCCCCATCCTGTCCTTTTTCTTAAAAGAATAAAAATGAATAAAAGAAAAAAATAATTTGCATAGTGTAACACCTGCTTGTCTTCTGCTCCCATTTCTCTGACTGTTGCCATATTGGTGCAATCTTCAGAATGATACAGACATCACTTTTTATTTTTCTGTCAGCTCACCAAAGATTTAATTTAGATTACCTTTGCTGTGCATATTATTTGAATTGATTACATGCATTTGACCATTTACCTGATTCCTGAGTTCAAAGTAGATTCCTTTGCCCCAATTTTTATCCTATTACCCAGTTATCCTATTACTCATTTACAACTAAACAAACAATATCCTTTTGTCCAGGTCTTGACATGCTATACTTACCTACATCCTATATCTCTTCTGGTATTGACTAATCCACAATACTCCGACTCAATGTGTGGGAAATGCCCAAGGGACTACTATTTATCTAAGGGTTTAACCTGCCCAAAACCTCTAATTAGATTAAGGATCATTTTAAAATAAATAAATTTGTCAATACTTCAAATTAATTTTTAATACGGTTACTTTGAACTAAACTCTAATTAAAAAAATCTTTCATTATTTTCAAGTGCTAATTATCACTAACTAGTAATAATTTATTTATTTATCATCATCATCATAAATTATTTAATAATTTATTTATTTATCTAATTTGACATATATCTTTATTGTATAACTTTTGATATGCCGTAGATCGCTTTACGTGCCAGATGTAGTCTGTAACGATTCCTTATATAATATATAAATGTTTATATAGCCCTTGAATGTATTACAAACATATTGACTTTTGTACATATTTTGGGGTTGATCTACAAAATGTTGTCAAAGGAGAGGATTCATCAATGCACTTTTACAGTATTCCTAGGGATAGGACACTGATTGGTTAAATCATTTCCCCTCTAGACTAGGTGTGGAAAGCATAAGAAACAAAAAATCAGGTAAACATGAAACAAATCATATTTACCTGCATTATTCAGCCTGCAGAGTGAGGCAACAATCTCATTCAAAACTAAAGCTTTTGAATGAGCCAGTTGTCTCAAGTGATGCATATCCATGCAAGTCAGCTGTAATAAAAAAACTAGAAGATACAACTTGTTTTGAAATAACGTAAATGTTGCAGAAGACATTGCTATGCCAACATTTAATCAGGGCATGGAATGGAAATCCTCAATGCTTATTTAAATCTGAAGAATTTATACCAGCATGACAAAACATTGGATTAGATTAGGCAGGGCTGCCCAACAGGTAGACCCCAGATTTTGTAGAACTACAACTCCAATGTTGCCTTGTCATTCTAAGTGCATTTTAAAGGCATGGGAGTTGTAGTTCCACAACATCTGGGGATCTACCTGTTGGGCAGCCCTGGAGTAGGGGACTTCCTGATCCATACTATAATAGGGAAACGATGTGACACATCTTTCTTTAAAATATTCTAGATATTATATAGATCCCACACATTTATAAAATATATCCTACTATATATAATTTCTATTCTCCATCCCAAAGGGATGGGGGCAGGGCCATAAGGCAACCATGTCCCTTGGATATTGTACCTAAATTAGAGGTTGGAGATGCAACCAAATGATGTAATTTCTTTCTCTCCCTGTGTCTTTTCCAGTGTCCCTTCCTTTGTTGTCTTCATCTTTATATTCATCCAGCTCTCTCTCATTAAATCTCCATTTCCTCTCTCACTTCCAATCTCTCTGCTACATCAAATCTCATTTCACTTACATTATATGTACCATTCCTTTCAGCTCCTGCCAAAATAGAGACCCAGAGGAATACTCTCCCCAGCAGCAATAACAGAATCTGATGATATGATGACCTCTTATAAAAATAATAAAAAAATAATCACATTTTAAAAAAGAACACAGAAGTTATCTATGCATGATTTATTAAAAAGAAATGCATATTTGTTATATATTTTGGGGAATTTCACAGTCTGGATGTTGTTTAGAAATCAGCAGAATTGTTGGGGATGCTTTCCTCATGGAGTTTTCATAAACAATGTATTAAAGCATACTTGTTCTAAAATGTCTTAATTTAAATGGACACAACGTTTTATCTTTTCTCTTTACCTTCATTCTAAACTTTCGTTTAACAAAATATACTACTCTTGAAATTAAGCAGTGGATTTTGTTTTACAAAACTACACTAGCTTGTATTTCATGAAATAGTTAGTTTTTTATTAGTTGTTTATACACAATAACCATTGTTCTTGAAATAGTTGTTTATCAATTTTAAAATGATTTCAAAACCTGATTTAGGGATATTTCCCCGCAATACATCTATTTTGGCTTGACATTTGAAATTTGTGTTTCATTTCACCACAATTCTTTATTTACTGAATTATAAAAAACCCATGTTGAAAATATTTGGTTATTAATGGTATTTTAAAAATGTTTCTATCTAATGGAATTAAAGTAAGTTTTTGGTTAACATTTTACAAGTTCTTAAAAAGAATATTTTAAAGCCAAACCTCTCCCAGTATGGTCTAAATTAGCCAATAACATCTAAAATGGAATGAATAGGCCCATGGTATGCTTTAGCATGTAGCAGAAAAAGTAGGGAATTGCTTTACAATAAAGATATTTTTCACAAGAACACTTATATTAGTAAATTTACATTTAATTTACAATTGTTCCATTAGCCTTATTCATTTTAATTCTTAGGCCCCTCTTCGTTGAAGTTCGGACCATTTTTGGTAAAAACAATAATTTGAGTATAGTAATTTCAGCATATTTGCACCTTGTTATATTCAGGAGCCACTTATTACACATTAAACCCACTGGAACATGGACATTTTAAATTGACATTTGTTTCCAGCTACACGATTCAATAACATTGTCAATTGGTTTCTATAATTGAGGCAATGTGCAAATTGCTAATTCACAGTTTGAACTTAAACTTTCCAGATTGACTGAAAAATCATGACAGGAAAAGTAAAAAAAAAAAAAAAAAGAAATCATGGGATTTGTGATTACGGCCTATTGACTTAAAAAAACCTTGCATTTCATACAGAGGAGAGCATCAGAGAGCCATCAAGGATATTCAAGTTTAGATATTTCAATCAAAGGTCTCTTAGCTAATTAAAAAATGACAGTAACTAGACAGAAGACCAGCAGTAGCATTTAAGGGACAAATATAAATAAGTGATATTTGATATGTGAACACTAACAATTAGGCCTACAATTTCTACTTAGAACCATGTTTGTATAAAAAAGCAATTACCAAGCAGATACACATTCAACTTCTGTTATTTACCACTAAGTGCATTAGGAAACTGCATGGTAACAAAAACACTCTATGTGAAAACTTCCCTATATTTACATAAGACTATTTTTCTTTCAGTGCAGGAAATCTTAAAAAAATGAGCCACATACCTCATTACATATTGTATTTGCAGCCATGTTAACATAATGTTGCAATGCAAAATATATATGATGTGGACTTAATATCAGTAAAATTCTGTGTGTTTATAGTATGCTTAACAATATTAATGTGAAATTGGGGAAGTATCACAAAATTAACTTACGTCACGTGTAAAAAAATAAAAAAAATGGGCAGTTTCTTATTAAACTTAATGTCACTTATAAAAAAAAATTACATAACATCATGACTAAAAAAAAATAAAACATAAAAGCTGCATTAATAATGTGAATATTGTCCCAATATGATAGTTAACTTATATTCACTTCTAATAAATTCAATAAAATGTAATTTGGTTTAAATTAAAGTAATTTATTTTTTAACTATAAAAATATTTATTTTATTCATCAATGCAGCAGCTCATGATATAAATTTTTGTTTTATAGAGCACAATGTAAGTGTGGCTGTTACAAGCTGCTCAAACAGTGAAATAAAAAAAATGCTCTATATAGTATTGGCTTCCTGCAGCAGCTGTCAAGTATCTGGAGCAGATAGCTCTGCGAATTTTGTTCTCCCCTGAGATTGTAGAACAATTAAATCCACATTTCTGCCAAATCAAAATGGAACAGACAAATAAGCTTAAAAAAAAAAAAGGAATAATGAAATAAGGTGATTGTGGAATACAAATCTATTAATTAATCCATGAATGTATTTATTCTGTTCCTTGCTAGATGTAATTAATGATTAACCCTTTACATACCAAAAGCAAACTACAGAACCAACAAAAACATTAAGCTTGCAACTTTGCTTTACACGGGCTTCATTCTAACACATTTATTCTTTAAACACCATTTTAGTGAAGGATTAAGATGTTTTTATTTTTAAACGCATGTTGTACTAGTAGCCCATTATAGTGTTTTTATTGCAGATAATTATAAGCCTTCAAAACGCCTCCAAGCTATGATAGTGTGTGCAGTGTGGGGGTGGGGGTTGGAGTCTTGAAATCTATTGTGTTCTTTCTTTTCATTCAAAAATATATGCCATGCTGAAACTAACAGCACAGAAGGCATTTAAAAGAGTATCTACTCTGGGGTATGTAAGCCATAATAATGTCAAAACAAGCTGCCCAACAAAATACCTGCTAAATATCATTAACTCTATAGCTTAGTAAGTATTGTCAAATATTAGAAGGCATACTAAACTATTTGTGTTCATGCACTTAAAATGAATAATAGATATTCTCCTGGAAAACATAATGCTATCTATCTATCAATCAATCTATCTATATATCAGTGTGTGTACATGTGACTGTATTAAACATAATATTCTCGAATGTACGTACATAATATATTTATACGATTGGTATTCTGTATGATCGGGTGTTATTTTATGCTAGTGAAACAGGATATAAATAAACTGGCATGTATCTCTCTGCAATGCCATCACAAACTGCCTGTATCCACGATTGTAAGAGAAAATGGTGGTGTACTGTTACACACATCAGAAAAGATACTTGGAGATAATGAGTCTCACTGTGTTAACATTTCAACTGCTGGAAAAAAATGTAATGCTTTGCAAGTATTGTAATAGACAAGCATCTGGAAACATATTTACCTTTCGATCAGTGTAAATTAAAATAGAAATACTCTGGAGGGAATTCTGAAATACAAAAAAGTAGAAAATGATTTACTTATTAATGCATTATATTTTTTTCAATATGCATTTCTGATTTATTAAATTCTAAATATGAAAAAAACTGTATATGAAAAAAAGATTCAGGAATAAAACTATCTGAAAATGAAAGGTTAATGTCTGTATGCAGTGTTTTAATAAGTCCACTGAAATTTCTGTAGCAAAAAGTGTATGCATTTGTATGTCTTTAATTGAGAATGCATGTGTATGCATTTGTATGTCTTTAATTTAGAATGCGTGATTTAATTCTTAATCTACAATTGTAATAAACATGTGAAAGCCAAATTAATTCATGTTTGTTTTTTGTTTTTTAATAATTAAATTGTTCAACATATAATAGTGCTTTATAATAGTGCTTACCTACAATGAATGTAGGAATATCAAAATAGGTGTACAATAATATGAAAACATTAACTTTACTGGCTTAAGTATTTTTCTCATCCATATTAGTATTAGTAGAGGGGTAGCGCTTCAGATTAGATCTCTTAGCAATATTAGTAGATAGATAGATAGATAGATAGAGGTTCCTTCCAAATATATCTGTATGTGTATGCTAGTCGTTTGATTGTTCCAATCTTCAAATACATTTAATTCCTCTCCCTTTAGAAAAGCATCTTCATAAAATGTTGCCTGCTGTATACTGCAGATATCTACTTGCAGAAGTATTGCTGATTCTTGTAGATAAATTCTAGCTGTGCAGATGCGGTTTCAAATTTTTTTTCAATATTGTATTAATTAAGTTTGAAAAATCTAGTAAACAAAAATCCAAATCCATAGAGATTGTAAGTGTGTGTCTATGTTGGTGTATGTGTGTATGCATGTAGTTGTTTTTCTATGTGAAGTATAGTAATAATAATCACAATGTTAATTGTTATTCCCATTTTTATAGTTGATTTTTTTTTTCATGATAAGTTCATTAAAGATTAGTATAAATAAGTACTAAAATCCTTATATAAAAACAGGTCATGCAAATATTGCAGGATGTAAAACTGATTTGAAATGTAAACATTATGAAATGACTTAAATGAAGACATTGAAGTCGATTGATAGTCGTGAGTGGGAGAGAAGGCAGGATATCTGTAGTTTTACCTGATCTTGGCAAATCTTCTCACTTTGACAGTAGGTGCAGCAGCCAACCGTGTGATGTCTGGTGAAATACACAGATCTTTCCTTTGTGCTGAGGCTTAGGTCTTAAGGAAAAAAAAAATTCAGGGGAGATTTTGTCTGTCATTCTCCTCCCACTTTTCAGTAAACGGATCTCCTTATAAGCACAACCCATTGGAAAAAAAAGATGGGGGAAGAAAAATCTGCTGCAGATACTATTAAATTTTAATGCCAAAATATATCCAAGTCACCTTCGCAAGAGCCCGATCTATAAAATCGTTTGTACTTTGCAAAGAGTAGCTTGACTGTTTTAACCGAGGAGAGATAGAGAAGCAGTTCTGCGGTGTTGGCGTGTGCCGAATACAATGTACTGCTTCCAGAGAATGAGTGCAGGTCATTGCATGACAATCCAGTGTAATTAGTGTCTACGTGAATAAAGGGGGACCACTGAAAAGCTTCGAATAATCAACCCATCTGTACTTTGTTGAATGGGCTGTGTCGAAAACCAGCTGCTTGCTTATTCAACAAAGAATGTGTGTCTATTATTCACCTTCTGCTGGAGCCTAGAGTTAAGTACCATCTGTGCTTCCATAGCAACATAGCTTTTACATCGAGGGGATAGTAGCAATGGTTTTTTTAAAAGAGAAGAATCAAAAGCTATAACGCTCTTTTTACAATCTTTCCCAAAACCATCTGTCTTCAGCTCAGTATTAACAGCCATTTCAAATCCATTAATCTTATCACTCAAAGGTGATAATTTAACCTTTCCATTGCCTGGGGCACAGTGAGTCAGAGTATGAAGGAGGCCCCTGTTTCAGGTGAGTTACCATCACCCAAAAGTTTGCACAGTATATGGTACAGTTAGTTGGAAGCTGAAATATGGAATCTATTAAATGTTGTATTTATTTATATTTTCTATACAATGTTACATATATATATATATATATATATGACAAAAGAATCAGCACTCCCAGGATTTTTTATGAAGAAACTTCTCTTTACTCCAAAAGTCGAAGTTTCAGTTCCACTTGGAATATATCTATATATTTTTTTTCTATACAATGATATATATCTATAAATATATATATATATATATATAACATATGTGGGTGTATAAATATATATGTAACATATGTGGGTGTATAAATAAATATATATATATATATATATATTTATAAATATATCGTTGTATAGAAAAAAAATATATATTAAAACATAAAAATTAATTATTGAATATCTTCAAATATCTTCACATTCATTAAAATATTAATATCATTAACACTGTTTTTGAAGTGTTTATTTAAAAGGAAATTACATATAAAATGAATTGAGTTCAAACATAAAAAATATAAAACATTACACTGTCAATCTGTTTCAAAGAACATGTTCATATATGCATTTATTTTTTTAAGGTTGATGACTTGTTTCTCAATATGTACACATTACTTTTATTAGATGTGTTTGCGGGATAATTCAATGTGTGTAATAATAATATTAAACTAGTAATAGGCAAATCTGCAGTAATTAATTATGACTGAATTTTGTGTGTATTTAGACAGTTTAACAATTCATGATATGACATGCCAGGACTGTCACGCTATAGGGGTTATAACTCAGACTAACTTCTTGATATAAAGTGGCTAAGAAAATAAAAACAATTGAAAAAAAAGAAAACATAATTAAAAAAAAAAAAATTTGATGTGAGATGTAATTAATGGTCACTGAACAGGACTGAAGCCTGTATTTAAATTTAATTTAATGCATCATAGTTGTAGTAGGAACCTGCTCCACAACATTTTAATTGAACCAGAAGTCTATGACAATTGCATTGAAAATGTCAGCATTGCTTCAATAGGTTACTAAATTAAGTTGTTTCTTTGCAAAGCAAGGGCAAAACCAGCATAATAACAAGCATCAACCTTTTTTTCATTATTATGGTAACAGTTCTGTTGCCCTGGTGATCACATTGTAGCAGATAACTTTATGAACACATTATTGTAACCTAATTCACTGCATTCTCAGGTAATACCACAAGGGTTCCACAATATTAGAACTTATTGCATGCTTAATAGAGTATAACATGAACAAAATGAGTTTCGCAGTTGGTATGGTTACACGACAAGATATTAACAATCATTTTTCAGTGATCTTAAGATCATTTGAAGGCTATTTGCGCAATTGGGTGAGCTACAAGGAACAAACATAGCTTATTTTATTTACAAGAGCTGAATACTCAATGAAATATATACTGCAATGTAAACATAAATCCTTTCATGAGAAAACAACAAATAAAAAAATAAAAAAAAGTGTTCAGACATTTTCTTGCATATTACGTTAACAACATTGAAATGAAAGTACACGTGCAGGTGGTATTCTCACAATCAACCTGTATGTAACATAGCAATTGTATATAAAAGTAATGAGAACACTGAACAACATCAGCATGGTGAAAAATAAAAAATCCACAAAACAGAAGTGTAATACTTTCCTTGCTAGAGTTCAGGAACAGTGGGATATACTGCTCATATCTAATAAAAAGCGTAAAAATCGTGAAATATCTGGTGGACACTTGGGTAAACAGAACAATAAAATGAACCACTCACATGGAACAAAGCCATATTCAGGCTTTATATATGCAGCATTGGGGTGCCCCCTTCATGGGTCACATGAATCAATACCAAGGACGTTAATGCACCTTAAAAGTATCCCAGAAAGAATAAATGTTATTGTAAAATACTATATATAAAAGAAACAGTAAAAAGTGTTGCTGTATATGAATAGCCAGGGTTTAAATAGAGAAAAATAGTATATAAATAAGCTTATAAGTCATAAACTAGTTCTTAAAAAAATAACCTAATTCAAAATCTAAATTTACATTTGTAGGAGCTAGCATTTTTAGCTCAAAATCAATTTTGTAACAACTCTGCCCAACTCCCAAAAAATCTTGTCCCTCTTGTCCAATTTATCTCTTTCTTAATAACATCTGCAAATTAAAGAAAGATGGGCTCCCCATGATGAACCAGGGAGAAATGAGCATACACACTATGTTTCTTATATCATGTCTGAATGTTACAGATATGACAGTATTCCTGACCTCTTGGAAAGAGATTATTATACTTTGTTTTTGTGGATGGTTTTAGTCATCTTGCTTGCATTGAACTGTCTACACATTACTTGTTTTTTTCTGTTGATATATTATGTTGTATTTTGTTGCCATATAGCTCTTAAATACACTTATACTCTTTGCTCTCTTTGCAAAAAAAGCGAAGAATATACAGGTCAAACATGTAGCTGGCCCTAAAGAGTGACACTCATAAAGTGTACTTCTTTATTCATTCAATAAATATATATATTTGCGTACAAGAGGTAAATCAGATAAAAAGAAAACTGATCTTTTGATTACATGTGTGCACACTCTTTACAATATAAGTTCTATCTCTGTTCAGTGTTCACCAATCACATTCCAAGTCATGTATAACACAGTTGCTTAATGCAGAAATAGCAGTGGGTGATAAGGAGCTAACACAATATCCATGGGACATTGTTGCTTAAAGGTATCATAGGAGTGAGGTATAAAAGTATTTTATAACCATTGTATACATTGTGGAACATACGATTGGTAATAAATATGGCACTTTTCAGAATATTACACAAATCAAGAGTCCCTGCAAATATGACATTTGGACAAGTCAGAAAGTTCATTCGAGAGTTGACCAAGAGGTTACCTGTAACCTTAAAGGTGCCAAAGGAATTTATACTAGTCCCTTCATAATGCATACTTTATATCTCATTTTGCCACAGAGTAGACATCAGCCCTTAGAACATTGTCAAATATGGCTGGAAACTGAAGAAAATCTTTAAAAAAAAACATACCCTAGTCCCTGAATGATCTAAAGAAGCCTACATGCAGTATGTTGATTTGATTTTTATTGAGTTTGAACTTTTCTGCAAATATTAGTGATACAAAATAGCAAAACTCCAACAGTGTTGTTATCAGAGGCCTTTTATTAAAAAAAAAAAAATGAATACATTTTTAGTTTAATGAGTGTGTACACTTCTGCAACACAGGTGTTTGTTGAAAAATGTTGGAAAAGAAATCAGAGGTCAGTTCAAGACAGAAAGCTAAAAATATTGGGTGCAAGTTATTTCAGAAAATTATTACAGAGGACATGCAAAAAAATTAAGTCTTGGAATTTTAATTAAAGATAGGCCCTTGAGGATTTAACTAGTGACCCAGATATTAAACTGGTAGAGAAGAGAAGTAACTTTTGGACGAGGAAATGTTATGTTAGACCAAGTAGAGCATGTAAAAGTTTATAAAAACAGGTGATCCGACTTCTAAAATAAAAAAGTATGTAATGTTTTTGCAGGTATATAATGTTATTGCATAAGAGAAAAATAAAAAGTATTCTTTTTAAACGTATATATTTTTTAAAATGTAAGTAGTCCAGTCATTCCTTATTTTAATTTTTTTAACATATTGTCCAAAGTACACAAGAATGTGGAAAATAACATCAAAGAGATTGTCTCTGTGGTTGATTCCTTGCTAGCAAAATTTTAATAAACTGACATCCAATTACAACATGTGGTAATAAAAATAAATAAATTCTGGCTACTTTAAAGATTCAAGATATTTAATCCAAATACAGGAAATGTTCCAATGCAAAAATTTATATTGGAATGTGACATTGGTGGTTTAAATGCTATCACTGACCATATACTGTTGTAAGGCTGTATATTCTCATCTAGAGAAAGATAGAAAAATTATTAAAGAAAATAGTGTCAATTAAATAATCATTTATTGTTTTCTGGTTTCATTGGGGGTTTGTTTCTTTTTTTTTGCATTTCACAGGGTTGCTGATCTGAACAAGTTTTGTACCCATTCAAGTTGGAATTTTTAAGTCTTATTGGGAGAATTTTTTAACCTCGAACTGTATAACTGTGGTTTTAGCTTAGTCCTCTGTCTAAGTTATATAGATGACATTTTCCTTATCTGACAGGGACAATGAAGATAGTCTTTTGAGATTCATTATTAAAGTTAGCAGTAATTTTGAGGTTATAAAGGGAGAGTATTTGGGGCATTGGAACTACCTCAGCAGTCTTGCTGTTGCAAACAGTGATGCTTCTAAGCAATCGGCGTGTTACATTTGCAGTTTCCAACTACTAGTGATTGTCAGATATAAAACAAATAGAGTATTTAGAGTGACATAGACTCAGTAATTAAATCTATTTGATATCTGACATCAGCATGTAAAGTATGTTGATGCCAATATTGTGGTTTGAATTCAGTGATTTGTGGAAATAGTTATGCAAGTGTCATGTGTCCTCAATGCTTCTCTGTGAAAAGCATCCAATTGAGTAAAACTAGATTGATTCAACAGTAGATATTAGAAATTAACCAATTAAAACAAAAACCTTTTGAAATTATAATTTAAAATCTTGTGCTACAACAAAAAATATATTTATTCTTTTTCAATCTTATTTACATGACACACACCTTGTTTGGCTACCAAAGTAAGCCTCTAGCACCATTAAAAAACAGGAAAAAGGCAAGTATCCCCAACATATTTTTTATAGTGTTTCTTGGAAAAACATGGGCCTGGTTGATAATATCATATCTAAAATGTCAGGTGGGTCCAGAGAACTGGTGCTCTGATCTTCCAACTGGTGCAGACCGTATAAACTGTTCCTTAAAGTATATCAGAGCATTTCTCCTGAAAGGAGAGAACAGTCTGCACCACTGGAGGTCCAGAGCTGGTACCTACTCACAGGACCACCAAGGACCGTGTCCAAAGTAATCAAAACAAAGTAATACTCATAATTATATGAGTTGGCATTTTATGTATATTAAAAATACATACTTATAAAGAATTATCTCTATATAATTATTTTGTAAGAATGTGCATCATTCACCCTATGCAATCATATTCACTTATTTTTTCAAATTGTGGAATTTGGCCATGTAACCAAAGAATAAGAGATATAAGCAAGAAGTATGATGACACATAGGGAACAAGGGAGTTTAGTCAAAAGTGGATTATGGTCTAAATATTGTCTGCCCAAATATTGTCACAACCTATTTACAGTAAGCAATGTGTTGGTCTTTCTGTGACACTTGAAATTTCTTAACCTTTTCAACTGTAAACCATGTCATTTTCTTTCAAAATGACTGGCATTTAACTTGCTGCCCCTCGCTAGAAAACTATATTTCTTTATGTGATAATATCACAAGACGGAATAAGGATATGTTATGGGTTGCGGAGCCTATCATACAATTTATTTTATAGCTTTTATCATTAACTGACACAAAACTATTGTGACCATAAGTGACTTACAAAATCCATTTAATTATTAATATAATACAAAGGCATTTCCATTTGAATGTTGATGCATAATATAGTAGAGTACATTGGGATTATTTTTTAATATGTGCTGTAAAATACCCAGGTTTGCATATGCCACAATTTATTACACAATGTGCCTGTTAGCATTACTAACTAAAATCTGAATGCCCCAAATCAGGATTACCAAAAATAATCTGGCATAATTCGGTGGCATTTGGATGCCAAAATCTAGACATTGGTCACACTATATCTGAATGAATGCCCGTCACATTCTAGCCAACCCAGATAATATTGCTGAAATCCAGATGGTGATTGGAGCATATATTTCATACCACGAAAATGAGGGAGATGTGTCTCTGCCCCCCACACCTTACATTGCAGTTGGGTGTTCAAGGAAATAGTGACTGTAAGCAATGAATGGGGACTTTAATAGAATATTTATTTATTTTTTGAAGCCTCCACTTGTTCAAACTAGTCAACCAGATATCCTCTCATTTGATGGCTGGTTCTTCAAGTCAAGTTAAAGGTATTCAAATTTCACAATTATCACGTCCTATAAAGAGCAAGGCAGAGTGACCTCTTTTCAGTATTGTGACAAACATTGGATATCCCCTGTCACTAGTGTGCTCATGTTTTATTGGTGTTTAAATTGGCTGGATAGAATCTGGGGCAAGTCTTCCCTATTACTACTAATGTTGGGGTAGCAATGGTAGGTCCCTTATTTATTTACATAGACTTAACCTGATTTCCATGGGTGGTGCGTTAGGAGGAGGGCCAATGGCATGCCCCTTGTTCTATTACAGGACTCATCCCACCATTAATTGCATGGAGCCTTGAGGGTGGATTGTCACAGCTAGCGAACTGCTGGGCAATGGGAGTACATGGTGGACTAAGAAGGAATTTATCTTCATGATAGTTGTGTGGGAGTCCTATTTTTCCCATTATGATTCATTTCATTAAATTTTTACTGCCAGAGTTACAGAATTACTCTTTTAAATCAGACACCTGATTATACTAAATGAGATGTTCTTATTCCGCTAAAATACATTTGCCTTTAGTAATTATAAGAGTTACAATTCCAGCTGAATTTTGGTAATTTAAACAAAACTTTGTCAATCCACACACTTTTGATCTTTAGTGAATAACCCTGATAGATTTAAAAAGGTTCTAGATCCCGGCATAAATTTACAAGTCATCAAATTCTCATCAAATTCAAAGATTTTCTTGTTACAATTTTCTGTACTTGAAAGAAACCCACAAAAGTTAAATGTAAAATGTAAAGATTTTTCATACATGATGTCTCTCAGCTTTTTTGTTTTGATCTACAACTGTTCAAATTAAATTAGGTTGCCATTTATTTTCTGTGTAAAATGTTAAATATCCTGCTTTTGACACAGACATAGCTGTCCCCATTTCTTATTGCAAACTGCTATGTAAATGTGGCAGTTTTTTAAATTTAAATATAATATATTTAACAATTTATCCTATTGTAAACTGCAATGTAAATGTGGCAGTTGTTTTTAAATTTAAATATAGTGTATTTAACAATTTATCCTATGAAAGTGTATTTATAGTGTATCGTGTTTTTCATCAAGGGATATCTGATGTAATAGTTTTATGGCATATTTTCTTTTAGATTGGTGGCAGAATATGAGTGTAATAGTCACATAAAGCACAATTTCAACATGACAAGGCATCAAACGAAAGAACATGCTGGCTTAATCTGATGTTACTATAAAGAGAAACTCTTAAATTGCGTGTTTTAGCCATATCTTGCTTTAATCACCCTAGTGAACCAAACTGGGGTGATTCTCTGTGTGCATTCTTTGTGTGAAATATGTAGAGAAGGTAAGTTAAAAGGTATTTACAGTGAGTCTCTGCAAACAATAAGAATGCAAGTGTGTGGGGAATCATGTGTTTGCATTAAATGTGACATTGCAAAAAGACATTACATGATAGAAACATAGAAACATAGAAACATAGAAACATAGAATGTGACGGCAGATAAGAACCATTCGGCCCATCTAATCTGCCCAATTTTCTAAATACTTTCATTAGTCCCTAGTCTTATCTTATAGTTAGGATAGCCTTATGCCTATCCCCCGCATGCTTAAACTCCTTTACTGTGTTAACCTCTACCACTTCAGCTGGAAGGCTATTCCATGCATCCACTCTCAGTAAAGTAATACATCCTGATATTATTTTTAAACCTTTGTCCCTCTAATTTAAGACTATGTCCTCTTGTTGTGGTAGTTTTTCTTCTTTTAAATATAGTCTCCTCCTTTACTGTGTACTACCTGCTGGATGCAAGTACATTTCCCAAGTACATTTCTACTTACCATAACTGTATAGTTATTACTAAACTCTGTTGCAAACTCTTCAGATAGGTGCTCTGGCCACATGCCTTTTATACATTTTAAACATGCCAATCACTTATTTGCACCAGGTGCCTGCAATGGATATAAGCAACTATACGACACTTGCAGCATGTTTTCTCCTATCTCCATATTCCCACTTTAGTGGTATCATGTGGCTAAAACCTTCACTTTTGCTTTGGTGGCAATGCTACTTACAACCTTTCTAATAATTATATACAATGTGTGTCTGCATAAGACCAAGTAATATAATATACACCAATGAACAACAACATCAAAACCACTGACAGGTGGAGTGAATAACATTGATTATATTGTTGCAATGGCACCTGTCAGTAGGTGGGATATGTTAGGTAGAAAGTGAACAGTCAGTTCTTGAATTTCATGCAGGAAACAGGAAATATGGGCAAGTGAAAATATTTGAGTGGCTTTCACCAGGGCCGGATAAAGAGCCCATTAGACTTGGTGTTTTGGTGTTGACAATTATGATGGGCCTAATTACAGAATTTTATTGACAGAAAACACTTAAACAGTCATACCTCACAAGTGTCATGTATCCAGGGGGATGCATATATAAGAATACACATACCCTATGCTAATCTCTAGCTTCAATTTTTAACCAAATCCACAACCCCCCCCCCAGCATCGGCATTCTTTGAAATGGTATGTCGGTGAACAGGATTAAAGGAAGTGGGCCAGTGACATGAATTACATCAGGGGCACTGCCCAAACTGATGGGCCATCCCAGAAAGGTCAGCCTGGTTTGAATCACGAAGGTCAGCCAACTAAGGGCAGTCTAGGGGTAGCAATGGTAGGTCCCTCTGGGTGCCAATGCATTTAATAATGCTTTCTGGGGACAGTTTTCTGGTGTCCCCAACACTAATTTGTCCAGTCCTCCCCTTCTCTTCTTACTAGCAAGCAGAATCTTCCTTTATGCCGTATGGGACAGACAAAATGATGGATGTAGTGAGTGTAAAATTAAGGGGCTATGCCACACTGTTAGAGAGACTGATGCAGCAAGAGCATTTCCACAGTGTGCCAAGTCACATTTACCTTAACTAGTTTTTGGTCATCTAGTCCACCCAAATTTTGCTCCTCTACATCCATCTTAAGTTAAGTTTTTTTAACCAGTGGGCTTATCCTGTGGACATGACCTGAAACTTCAGCTCTATTAGCACATGTGTTTATCTGGCCCTTACTTTGATAAGGGTCAAATAGTGATGGCTACACACCTGGGTCAGAGCATTTACAAAATGGCTAATCTTTTTTGATGGTCCTAGTATGCAGTGGTAAGTTAGTACAAAATATATGTACAGGTTGCGCCAAAATAAAAAGTCCAATAGATTATTAGATGCTTGGAGTATTCTTTACTTGTAAATTGTCCAGGCTTCTAATGGTGGCAGGTATATGTAATAAAGAAAAAATATAACCTGTAATGGTAAACAATAAAGAGGTCTATGACATAGCACTCACATTTAGTAGAGTTATAAAACCATCTCTGAGTATAACAGCATGTAGTGTACAATCCCCAGTGGTTTATATGTTGTTTCATGATAGAAAGGTGTAAAAACACACAGGACATAACCATTTTGCTGCATATTGGGCTGTGTAGCTGCCGACCAGTCATGATGAACACTGTGCACTGCTGAAAGCTCCTTCAATGGGGTTGTGAGTGTGAGAATGAACTGGACCATGGAGCAATGGAAGAAGGTTGCCTGCTGTGACATTTTCTTTTAGATCAATTCAATAGCCGGGTACATATGAGTCATTGACTTTTAGAAGAGATGGCATGAGGATGCACAATGGGAAGAAGGCAAGCAGGCGGAGGCTCTGGGTAATGTTCTTTGGGTCCTTGAATTCATCTGGATGCTACTTTGACACATACCACCTACCTAGAGATTGTTGCAGACCACGTTCATAGCAGTGGTGATCTCTGATCAGCAGGATAATGCTCCCTGTTGCATTACAAAAATTGTTCAGGAATGTTTTGAGGAACATAACAAATAGTTTGAGATGTTGCCTTGGCCTCCAAATCACCCAGATCTCAAACCAAGTGAGCATCTGTGTGATTTTAAGGAACAACAAATGTGATCCATGGAGACCTCACTTCGCAACTTGTATGACTTAAAGAATCTGTTGCTAATGTCTTGGACGTGTTCAGTGATCCTGTGGAGTCCATGCCTCGACGCATCAGAGGTATTTTGGTAGCACAATGGGGATCTATAATATATTAGGAAGGTGGTTTTAATATTGTGGCTGATCAGTGCATGTGTTCTAGCTTTAAATAGTATAAGAATTTTTTAGAAAAGGCTCCCCATCAACCCTGATTTTTTATCAGGTACTAATAAACAAACTAGCAGGAACCTTTATTTAAGCTGTGCTTCCAAAAAAAAAAATCTTACAAGATGAGTTTAATTGTACTGGCTTCATTTTATTTTGCTTGCAAGTCTTTTCATTATAGGTTATGAAATTTGGGATGATAAATATATTTTTAAGATGTGATCATCCTTCCCTTCATCCTTCTATTTTCAAACCATGATTTTTCATCATGATATCTATTTTCCCGATCATAATCTATGTCTATGTTTTCAATTAGATTAAGCTGCAATGAAATTAAAATGTTTTCAAAATAAATATCCACATATAAGCAAAATCCAATCACGTAAACGTTTAAAAATTTGATGTGATGCTCTATACATGACATTAAACACACATTTTCAATGGAATACTCTCAATGGAAAATCTCCTGGGCAAGTATGTCTCCATCATATTCCATGCTTTATAAGGGTGAATAAAATAACTATCCTAAACAGCTTCTTTTAAATAATAAAGTACCAGACTATACACTTATATTCAGTCATACCTATTAAAAAGAGTACAACTACGAACCATATTTTAAAGGCAACAACTTAAACAGGTCAGATACATATTTCCAATTATTAACTGAAACCCTTGCTTACTGTGCTTGGGGGGTTAACAGCTACACCTGAATGACAAGGCCCAAAGATGACTGATGTGATTGTCTGGGTTCTCTTGTGCCAAGTCAACTAACCAAATATTCACTGTTTTCATTAATTCTATTTTGGCTTAATCAGTTGAAACACTCTTAAAAAAAAGATTGATTCTGCTGATTACTCCAAATGCAGCACTAGATTTAAATGTGTTTTCAAACATCCATTTTAATTCTATTAAATGGGTGATGCAAATGTTGCTGATGCCTAATAGTAATAACTAAATAATTCAAAAGGAAAATAAAGACATTTTATTTCTTTAGTTCTAGGTGAGAAATTATATGATTGAATGTTGTGATTACTCTTTTTTTTTCTCAATAGTGGTAGGCTACATTTTATAAATTGTTATATTGGCTCCACACAGAAAAAAAAACACGTCAATAGTTTTGGTTTTAAAAATATTATTTTGAAGTAATCAGTTAAAGTTGCCAACCATCAAATTCTATAGTAGCAAAACATATTGTGAGTTTAAACTCTTGTCCAGAGCAGGGACGGCCTTAGGGATGTCCAAGCTGTGAGGCCGCACACGGCACCATGGCAGTAAGGGGCACCATGCAGCCGACTTAGCTCGCACACTTCGAGGGTGACAGGTGTGAGGGAGGTGCACAGAGCACTTCTATAAAGCAGGTCGACCTATGTGTAGCACCTGGGTGAAGAATTTCAGGATTCTCTACCCAGGACTATCAACCTAATATGGCAGTGAGAGTGGAGAATAATGAGTGGCATAGGGGGAACTCTGTGCCTAGTGTGACTATGTGCCTGGGACTGTGTGTATACAGCTGTATGGTGGAGGGGCAGACCAGTTTCCCAGCACACTGGACCACCTGAGATCAGCATGCCCCCTCCCTACCAGGTAACAACAGGCTAAGGGGAATGAATATTTGTTTTTAAATAATTATTAATTTAATAAATCCCCTATACAAACATGACACCCCTATACACACACACTATACATGGATGAAGGAGAATGACCAGGAAGAGGCGCAGTGAAGATTTTTTGCACAAGGTGGCTAACTACCTAAGGCCGGCCATGGTCCAGAGTCTAAAATATAAGTGCTTTACATTCTATGAACTTTATTAATTTCATAAGATTTTTGGTATGAATCATTCTTAATTAAAGTGATGTCAAAGTAATCCTACCATGCAGAACAACCTACATACAATATAAAAGATCAAAGTTGCAAACAAAATAAAAATTCTCTGTCATGTGACAACTTGAATCCTACCATTTTGTGTAATTACTATACATGATTAAAGTACATTTGGACTTAAACATTGCAGCCTTCTATTGGCATTAAAAAAGCATCCGTTACTCTCATCAGCCTGTGCCTGCTCACATCCGCTGTTTATTGAATTTCAGGGACTTGCAGTATCTTCTATAGCGTGGCACATTAGCAAGTTAATTACAGATTCCTGAGTGCTGTGTTCTCCTTTCATGTTGTGACATATGATGGAAGGCTGCTTGCATGCACATCTTAATTAGTGCAGGTATTAACCATGCCTGGAAACCAGTGCAGCTCTCCCCAGAGTCCTCCTACATTAGAGATAAGAGGTGAGAATCAGTGCACACACATAATGCACATTTTATGTGTATTTGGAATTGTGGTCAGGCTGCCTGAATTAAATGCTACAATCATTTCAAATGTCTGATGAAGTAGGGGATATGATCCATGTATACTTGGATGCTTAATTTATGTGTCTCACATATATAACTAAGTCAGGACCAATTGATCAGGCGTTTATTCTAAATAGCCTTAACTAACAATGTTATCATTACAAATGGTTCACCCATGGGCCGTTTTCACATTAAGTTGTGAAGATTACATAATGATCTATGTTTCATTTCCACTGTGCTTTTACTATCCTTTGAGTGTTTCTTTCTTACTATAAGCAATGTTTTGTAATTTATTTGTTTATTTATATTAATTCTTGATTTTTAAACACAGGTTGAAACATGATATGTTTAGGAACTGATGAGATGAGTTGGTACAAACCACAATGTTGAAATTGCAGTCCATGGCTGGTTTATGGTCACTGGTCATTTTGCATCAAAGCCCATGATTTGGTTTAAAAAAATAATCTGTGTTTAAAACACTGTCCATTGCTCTAGGTATTTGCAAAAATGCAGATGGTTGTCTGCAGGGCCAATGCAAGGAATTTTGACTACACAGGTTAAGATGCATTTTCCTCTCCCCACAAAAAAAATGCATCTTCATCAATGTGTCTCTTAACCAAATGTTAAATTTCTTATATATCATTGTGCGTTTCTTATGCAATCTTTTGAATGTCTTAGCCTTTCTAATGCATCCTAAGTGTATCTGACTGTCCCCAATGTTTCCGCTTTGTTTATTACTTCCCATTGAGCATCTCTTACAACCCCCCCTTTGTGTGTTTCTTACACCCCAGTTCGTTTGTGTCCCTCTTACTTCCCCCCCAGTCCTTTCTGTGTCTCTTACTTAGCTCCACACCCTTTAGTGTGTCTTTTACTTCCCTCGCCTATCTGTGTGTCTCTTTTCCCCCCAGCTCCCATTGTGTGTCTCTTCACCAGCCCCAGCTTCATCAAACATCACTACCCCCTTTTCACATTGAACGGTCGCAGACTAGATGGGCCGAATGGTTCTTATCTGCCGTCACATTCTATGTTTCTATTGGCATTACCAATGATGCATTGTAAATGGTATCATTGGCCCTTCCCTAGAGGCCAGTCATTGGGCACCCACTTGTCTATTTTGTAAGACATTTGAACTGGCAATTTATTAAGAGTGAAGCATAAATGTGTTTGGTCATGTGATGACTCATCACATGATTGTGATGACCATGAGAAATATATACAATAAGCCTATATTTTGACCAAAGCAGTAATTGACCAAAGGGGTTACACCAACAAAGTCTTGATTTTTCTTTTATTCAAAATGTGGACTGTACAAGTAAAGGCTATGTAATGTGAAAATAAAAATAAGAAATATGAGGGGGGCTTTACTGTTATTATAGTTCTCATACAAAATTACTGCAGCTCAAAAAAGGTTTCAGAGTGGTTTACTTTCTTTTTGCATTATATTGTGTCATCACACCTAATGTTGTCGTCTATGAAATCAGGATGGTTGTTTCTGAAATGTCCTTATCACAATAATTTTCTTTTACTATACCAATTCTCAGCTTCTACATTCTACATTATCATATATAACTTAGTTGCCTTGTTATTTCCATTGGTCTAGCCATACTTGTATAAACTCACAATGCCGTATACAGGTATATATATATTTTCAGATATTCAGATTTTCAGAAGTTCAGATATAAATAAACACATGAAGGGCACATTGGCCAAGCAGGTAGTAGGATAGAGACCAGACAGACAAAAGTAATCATGGGGTCTTGGACTGACCATGAGTTCTTGATTGGGTAAGCAATTTAATCAGTTTATTCCTTAAATAGTGTCACACAACCTAAAACTAAATTTAGGGAAATAAAAATATAACATGCAGTAGGCGTGGTTAAGAGAGTGCCATAACAAGATGTATGCTGCTGAAACTCTGTGTAACATAAAGGCCTAAATCATATGAGAGTAGATCCCAGAGATGGGAAACCACTTACTGACACTATTTACTTTCTCAATGGCAACCACAAAAGCTCTGTAACCAATGCAGTCTGTCAAATTACACTCCTCTGCCAAAAAAGACAGGCCCCGGGAAAAATCAAGATGGCAGTCACACCATGTCACCTTCACTGTCACTGAACTCTGACTTACCATCAAACCTGGAAACGGCAGATAACAAAACTCTCTGGCTGTATTGCCTCAATATGTGTGCTCTCTTTTTGAAGCCATTGCGCCTACTTTTGAAGGAAAGGAGTGAATCATGGACAGGGAGAACAGGCTACCCAAATCAAAAGGGCTACTCTAGAATACCCCCAAGGGCACAATAGTATGCATCCATTTTTATCATCTCAAGGAGGCACTGGTAAAAATGCAAGCAAATTTAAATAGTTTCTAAAGTCCTATCAGGACTTGGCCTAGTACTCTGATCTATTGATTTTTACACTGACATGGAGGAAAGAGTTTACACCAATAACTTCAGTTCTAAGAAAGAGAGGAGTCAATTATAGATGGGGATAACCCACAGGCCTACTAATTTGGAGGAATGGAGCACTGGCAACAATAACATTTCCTGAGAGGGGTAGTACTTTACTGAAGTACTGGGGAAAAGCACCAAAAAAGTGAGTGTGTTAATGTGAGTGAGTGTGTGTGTCTGTTAGTGTGTGTGTGTCTGTTAGTGTGTGTGTGTGTCTGTGTGTGTGTCTGTTAGTGTGTGTGTGTGTCTGTTAGTGTGTGTGTGTGTCTGTGTGTGTGTGTCTGTTAGTGTGTGTGTGTGTGTGTGTGTCTGTTAGTGTGTGTGTGTCTGTTAGTGAGTGTGTGTCTGTTAGTGTGTGTGTCTGTGTCTGTTAGCTAGTGTATGCGTATCTGTCAGTGAATGTGTGTGTGTATTTAGAAGGAGGGGAAAGGTGGAACCATAGAGGAAAAGGTGCAGACAGGTTAATTGGTGTATCAATATTACTCTCAGGAGAATAGGGCAGGAAAGCTGCTAGCATCGAAATTTAAATACAAAGCACAACAATTCAAAATCCCATTTATGCTAAATACATCAGGGGTCAAGCTAGTGAACCAAACCAATATATAAATAAATGAATTAGCAAGCTATTATAAGTTGCTACACTACATAAAAATATTGTCCTAAGTTCATCCACCCATTGAAGATATAGGCGACTTCCTGGAAAAGTCAGTCTTACCGCTGATTACTCCCCAATAAGAGGAAATTTTGGTCCAGCCATTTACAAAAACAGAAGTGCTAAGAATTATATGCCTCTTGGCCCATAAGGCCCCAGGTCCTGTCCGGTTCTCCAATTATTACTTAATCAAAATTGCCAATTCCCTGGTCCCACACTTAACAGTATTCAATACAAACTTAAGGAAGGGTGGAAACTGGAAGAAATGTTAGAAGCACATGTCATAATGCTTCCCAAGCCAGGTAAACCCCCCACATATGGTCCACATTTCAAATCTATATCCTTTGCTGAACTCTGACATACTCTATGTGAAGCTGCTGTGTATAAATAAGTGCCTGTGTGTGTATTTCTGAGTGTATCTGGCATTGTCTACCTGTGTGTGACAGGGTTTGGGGTGAGTGTGGCACAGTTGGAGGACAGGATTGTAAGGGTTTATGTGGTGGGGTGAGTGTAGCACGGTGAAGGGGGTAAGTGGGAAAGACTGATAGAGTATGAGTGTGACAGGGTTGGGGGGTTAATGTGATAGCGTAAGTGTGGCAAAGCAAGGGCTGTAACACATCACCTTGCACCCCAACTGGGTACCTCCGTTGAAGGATGTTCCTAGTTCTTCCTGAGGGCTCCAAGCACTCCAGCCAACACCATAACCACTGTAGACTCCTCCAGAGAGCAAGACAGGAACAAGCTCTTACAAGGGCTTAGTAGTGATATAGCAAGGGAGTATGACTAGCATAGCAATCCCTTGTAGCAGATTCCCCCAGTACCGAGACGACACTTCGTTTTGAGGTCAAGCAGAACTGACTGTACTGGCACATACAGCCTCTTTTATTCACAATCCACAAACACAGTACTGCCCACAGGGTTTTGAAATCTAACCAATCAATCCATACAATACACACAGACACTCCCCCACAAAATCCTCCCCTCTGCCTCTGATATGATTACTGAACACAATGGTTAATATAATTATCACAGGCAGAGAAATACAGTGTCATAAAACACATCACAGGGACCCCAAAACATGCAATAACCCCATAAGTATATCCTTGGAACCGGGGGATCTGGGTGAACCACATACCCAAAATTCACCCAGATCCGTTCAGTAGTTTGGAAGATACAGTTTAATGCAGATTCCGCAGAACATATGCAGGCTATATGAAAAACAATTACTGTATAATGTGTCCCCTGTTGTATAGTTTAAAACTACTGCACGATGTCTCTGTGCACCAAATACCGGTGAGATGGCACCGTGTTGAAAAGTCCAAACAGTGTCTGTGAGTTAAAATGTCCGCCATCCATTGTTCTCACCATGTGCTTCAACCATTGTTCTCACCATGTGCCTCTGATACATGAAATGGTGGCCACCCAGTAACTCCACAGTATGTCCCCAGATGGTTCTTAAAGAGCCAGCAGCAGCACAACACAAATCCATTATGCCCAAATCATGTCTTTAAAGGGCAATACATCCCAGGAACCATAGTCACATGGCAGGAGGCTGGCAATCAGTCTTCTCCAATGCCCAGTGGCGAGGTCGGTTTTGCCACAAGGGCAGATGAGTTTGGCATGATTGGAGTGGGTGAGAGTGACAGATTAGGAGGGGTTAATGTGAGTTTGACTGGGTGAAGGAGGTGACAGTGTGTGGGGACTGAAAGTGTTTGGAAATGGTAATAATGTATGTGTAAGGGGTGATGGTGTGTGTATGTGTGGGAGGGTGACAGTGTGTGAAGCAGGTGTCAGTGTGTGTGGTAAAAATAGGGTATAGGTAAGGGATGACAAGGTGTGTGGAGGAAGGCTTTGACAGTGCATGTGTGTGTGGGGGGTGACAGGGTGTGGTGGGTGATGTGAGAGAGTGGGGGAGCTTTGACAGGGTAGATGGTGAGGGGGCTGTGAAAGGGTAGTTGGGCTGTAAGAGGGTAGGGGTGGTGGGGGAGCTGTGACATGGTAGGAAGCTGTGAAAGGGTAGGAGATAGGAGGCTGTGACAGGGTAGGGGGGGCTGTGAAAATGTAGGGGTGGTGGGGGAGTTGTGACAGGGTAGGAGGCTGTGAAAGGGTAGGAGGTGGTGGGGAAACTGAGACAACGTAGGAGGTGGTGGGGTGCTGTGACATGGTAGGAGGTGGTGGACTGTGACAGTGTAGGAGTTGGGGAAGGGCTGTGACAGTGTAGGAAGTGGTGGGGGACTGTGACAGGGCAGGGTCTGGCAGGTCAGGAGGTGGTAGGGGGGCTTTGACAGGGCAGTGGGTGGCCAGGGGGCTGTGACAAGACAGGAGGTGGCAGAGGGGATGTGACAGGGTAGGTAGTGGTAGGGGAGCTGTGACAGGGCAGGGTGTGGTGGGGGAGCTGTGAAAGGGCAGGGGGGTTGGGAGAGCTGTGACAGTGCAGGGAGTGGTAGGGAGGCTGTGACAGGGTTGGGGTGGTAGGGTGGCTGTGACAGGGCAGTGGGTGGTAGGGGGCTGTGACAGGGCAGGGTGTGGTGGGGGTGCTGTGAAAGGGCATGGGGTTTGGGAGAGCTGTGACAGTGCAGGGAGTGGTAGGGGGCTGTGACAGGGTCGGGGTGGTGGGTGAGCTGTGACAGGATAGGGGGTGGTGGAGGAGCTGTGACAGGGAGCGGTGGGGAACTGTGACAGGGCAGGGGGGGGTGGGGGAGCTGTGACATTTTTAGGAGTGGTGGGGGAGCTGTGACAGCATAGGGGTTGGTGGAGGGGCTGTGACAGGGTAGGGAGTTGTAGGGGGGCTGTGACAGGGCAGTGGATAGTAGGGGGCTGTGACAGGGCAGGGGGTGGTGGGAGAGCTGTGACAACATGGGGTGGTGGGAGAGCTGTGACAGGGCAAGGGGTTGTGCGGGAGCTGTGACAGTGCAGGAGGTGGTGGGGGAACTGTGACAGGGAGTGGTAGTAGAAAGGCTGTGAAGGGCAGGGGGTGGTGGGAGAGCTGTTACAGCAATAGGGGTGGTGGGTGGTCTGTGACAGGGCAGAGGGTGGTAGAGGGGCTGTGACAGCATAGGGGTGGTAGGGAGCTTTGACAGGGCAGGGAGTGGTAGGAGGGGCTGTGACAGGTGGTCATAAATACCTTTTTCATACGTTGAGTCCCTGATGGTCAAGTGGACTGGCTCCATCCTTGGTGGTCCGGTGGGCTGGCTCAACCCTGGTGGTCCAGTGCGTTCCCTACCTGGTCTGCCACTCCGCCAAGTCTTGTGATTTCCAGTCAGAGCATTGCCTACCTGGTCTGCCGCTCCGCCAAGTCTTGTGATTTCCAGTCAGAGCGTTGCCGTGGTAACCTGCAGCAATGTTCTGATTGGCTGAGATCACGAGACCCCTCAGACTGCAGCTCTGCACCCGGCAGAATTGCAGACTTGTGGCTGGCACTCAGTCAGAGCAGACTGACTGGAGGGGCATCGCACAAGGCGGCATAAAGGGCAAGCTGCTAGGCCCTTCCTGTGTTAGGCCCTTGGTCATAGACTGGAGACTCGACATGTCAGTCTGCACTATGGCAATTTAGGCAGCCACGAGGCCCCAGACTGTGCAAGGTCTTAGGCGGCTGCCTAAATCACCTAATTGGAGAGCCGCCTCTGCTCTCCTGATTGTGGTTTCATCTCTACTACTTAAGCAATTAAAGCAGATTTTATACGCACAAATCTGGAAGGGAAAAACCCCAAGGATATCAGCCAGAGTGAATAGACTTCACACCACTCAGGAAGGACCAATTTGGCACAAATACTAAGTGTGTTATCACGAGTAGACCCACATATGTGGATTGCCTTGGAGTGTGACTACTTAAGGCCAAACACCCTTTCACAACTTTTGGGACCTAATTTGGTCTTAATGACACAAAGCCTTAAACATATAACCCATTCCAAAATCTACAATCCAGGTGTAATTATGTGCTGCACTTTTAAATCCATATTCCACACAGTAAAGTGGGCCCCTAGAGGCACTGAATTGTCATACATCTGAGATCCAGCTCAAGCAGTGGTAGAACA